GGTGCAGCACTTGGCCATGACTATTGATGTACTATTTCCAAGGGTTAAAGGTCAGTCGAGGATTCAGGTTATAACCAACTCTATATCAGGGAATATAATGTTTTAAAATAATTCCATTAGAATAAATTCCTAGAAAAACCTTAAAACTTTTAACCCTTTTCCCGAAAGACAATTAAACTAATCATAATTAGAACCTAAGCCCATTAACCCGCAAGCCGTGACCCCCATCCCCAACCCCATGTCCTGCAACCCTGCAAGGAACTACTCACTCGCTTCCTCTTTCAAGGAGCAGTTTTAATTTTTGGTTGAATATTTTTCGGGTGCAGTGTTTGCTCAAATCCGTAATTAAAACGCTGAATGGAAGAGAAAGCTGAGAAGCTGAGCCGTGCACTTTGTGGGCAAACAAGGTCACCAATCCAAAGGGGTAACTACACCAGAGTGTCCATTTCCTTCGGACCAGGACCAGTAGTGGGGGAGAAGGAGCGAAGTCACTTCACGCCGAGCGTGCAAATTAAAACGGAATTACAGAGCTGACTGGCTGGAGGAGTTCCCAGTTCCGAGTTCCGTCTCGGGGGATTGGGTTTCAGCGGTGTCACGAGTGCAGACAGGTCGCCCAGACACCCGTCAGACGCCTCCCACTCCCAAGGGGTTGCCTTTCGCATTCCCAGCTGGGCACGGAAGTCGCACAAGTGCATCATCCCATTCCTCGGGAGCTGAGCCGCTCAGGAGCTCAACGGCTCAGGGTTGGACTCTGGAACTCAGCTGGCCACTTGGCGTAATAATATTTCAAATTGGGCCAAGTTCCCTGCCAGCCAGCCACCCAGCAACCCGTACAAACAGCTCCCAATGAAATGCAATAAAAAAGATGTGCAACTTGCACAAGTTTTCGCTCCTCGACCAAAGCAAACTTTTGTAATAAAATGTTCATTAGTGCTGGTAGCGCCCGCTGAGTTGTAGTTTCAGATCCTCCTCCTCCTGCTTTGGCTCCTGCTCCTACTCCTTTTGGTGGACCAATCCAAATCCCCCTTAGTCCGCCACCTTCGGTCATGTGTGGCCTCTGTGGCTGCGGATGAATTGCAGTTTTAATGTGTTGCCAGTTGCCAGTTGCCAGCACTTTAACTAACTGGGAATCCGAGTCGCTGCGGCAAAAAATTGCCAGATTGCCAGATTGCCAGAACCGGGCGGATCAAGTTTGAGGAGGGGCTAGCGGCGGGATGCGGTCCAACTTTTGCCGCGTAATTAAAACCAAAGCATCGCCAAAGTGGACAAGCGCCCTTTAAACTGATTAGCGCCACGAGTTTCGCGAGTGTCCAGTGGTCAAGTGCAGGGTCCAGGACCATGAGTGGGGCTTAACATGATTGCCGAACTGCTGCTGGATGCAGTTTTTATTCCCCTCTTTTTTTTATTGTGGCGCCCGCCGATTTGCTGAGGAGCAGAAATAAGTGGAGGGCTTCAATTTTAAACCAAGTGGGTTCAGTTTTTCTGATTTATGCAAAGAGTTGACGGTTTTCCTTCAACAGACCAGGCTGAAACTTCTCCTAGGAGAGTATTTGGCTCTTAAGAACTTATCCAAACACTTTTTAATTATTTCCTGAAATCATTCCCATGTATTCCTTACGATTTCTGTTGACTCAAGACCTCTTTCCCAGCCATTATCTGTTGTCTTATCGGCAGCGGAGCCTGTTTATTTATTCATTCCGATGACTTACTCCAAGTCAGAGCCAATTTGGATTTGGCCATTATATTGTGGCCCTTTTTGTCTCGGCCTTTGTCTTTGGGACTGTTTGCTCGGCTGCCAGAAATGGCAGTGCCGACATGTCCTGGGAACCATTCCAAAAAGTGCCCGGCATACATACAAATGTCCTCCTTAGCTTTCGCTGTGGGATCTGGACTATTTTCGATGCTCTTGGTGCTGCATTGACCGCAAACCCACTGCCGTTGTCCTGCCTTAGTTCGCTTCGCTCCGCCCCGGTCCTGCCGACTGCTCCGGGATTAGGATGCACAATAATTTCAACAATTACTACTTGAATGCAATGTTTATGTTCAATTATCGTCCACAACTGACCCAGCTGAAATCGAGGCAGGACCGCTTCCTCGTTCGGGTCGTTGCAGTTCATTGATTGACATTTTTATTATGCATATTCGCTGGTCTGTTATCCTTGTTACGCTTCCTTCCTGCCTGACGGCCGGCACTCCTTCCGCCCTCGCCCCGCTGCCTCCCTGCCTCCCCGGGACCAATAACAATAAATTTCCAATTTGTCTTTGGCATTGGCCATAATGACGTCCACAAAAGAGACCTTAATCCAATAGATAAATTCGACGATATCCTGGCTCCTTTCGGGCCATCTCCTCCGGCCGCTGCCGCGGACAGTCTCATTACTCGTCCATTATTATTGGCCTTCGTCCTCAATCAATTTTTCAATTTCATTTCCAGTGCTCCGTTTCGCGATTGCCCGTCAAGTTCTGGTCCTTGTTCTGGTTCTGGTTTGTGGAGAAAATTATAAAAATTTGCATTTCATCCGGGTATCTCTGACACCCTTCAGTGCCGGGATGTCCTTTTGTTGTTTCCGAGCTGAAGCAAGTTAGTCTCTCCGAAAGTTGGCCCTTTCAAAAAATATGATCCTGGTATGACAAAATCTTCCTCGTTTTTTGGTTAAAGAACAAAACTGGTTGGGAGCCACTCAGGTGTATCCAAGCACTTTGAAACCGACACTTCCAAAGGCCCTTTTCTCAGAAGCTGCTTGAACGACGCGCCTCTTTCCGATGATTAGTCCCACAGATCCCTGGGAAGGATAACAGGCGCTGGGAAAAACACACGCTGCCCGCAAAGGCACACACATCGCGAAACATTTGGCGGAACTTGCAGAGACAAGTGCCGCAGAACAAAAAGTCGCGAATAGCGAAACAAAACTCCGGGAAGTGGAAAAGTGCCGGAGCGGGAAAAGGAGGCAAGGACACAGGACATGCAGGACACCTTGCTGCGCGGTGTGGGAAACAAGTTGCGGAATTTCCTGGCCAAGAGGCAGATAGCCGCCGCATATGTTGAGCACATGTTGGAGGAAATTCCCGCACAAGGGCCAGGAATCAACGTCCGGCGTGGGAAAAGCCCGCCCACGCCCACCCGGCCCACCGAATTACCTGTGTGCCTGTGTGCGGGTGACCTTGCCAGTACGGGTAGGAGGCGGAGAGGACAATTGGGTCCACTGGGATGGCAGTGCTGTGATGCGTGCCCAGCACAATGAAATCGGATGGAACTCAACCTGAGGGAACGTGGGAAAAAAGGATTTACGATGGAGTACTAGAAGCTGGAGTCGAGCCGGTGACGTGCCATCTAATGTACATGCATAGGTGTGTTTTTTCCATCCGTATCTGAACATCCGTATCTGTCGCTGTATCTGTGAGTGCTTACCTGTTGCACGCACATGTTTAGAAAGTCATCATAAATCTCAGTAGCCAGCTCTCCCTGCTCTCTACGCTGTGAAAACATTTTCACTTTTCATGCGGGACTCCGAGGATGACTCGCCAGGACAGTGGGAATGTGTGTGGGTGTTTGTCTTATCTATCAGATCTGTGTAAATTCCCAGCTTATCATGCAAAACACGTAATCACGCTCCGAAGATGATCCTTGGCTGGGCCACGCCAGGAAGCCAGGAAACCTCGTCATCGGATGCTACTCCTTTTGTGCAATGTGCCGTGACCTTTCCCGCGAACTCGTCCTCGGCTGACTGCGTCGGCTCAGGGCTGCCTAATAATTTGTATAAATATTTATTTTTGCTACCGATTTCTATCTCTATCTCCTCTCTACGCCGTACTCTCCCCGGACTAAAAAAAAAGGTGTGAAATTCAAAACCCCCTGGCCATGATCTCTTACTGGGAATCGGAGGGTTTTCCGATGCGGTACATGTTCTGCATTGCTAAGCTGGATTGCTGGACTTGATTTGCATTTCAGCCAACCTGCTGTGGCACGTTCCAGGCTACAGGGGAGTTTCATATTGGTATTATATTTAAAATTCAATAAACTTTACGAAATAGTCAATGATTGTCTTGTAATAAAAATTGGGTATATTTAGAAAATTGAAGCGATTAATCGATTGGTGATTCGAATGCGTTTTAGTCATAAAGATGAGTAGTCAGATTGGTGGAAGATTACTCATTGCTTTAAATTTTAAGTTAAATTATTTAAAAACCTGTCATCGTAAAAAAAAAGTAAAAAAAAACCCAGGGACCGGGAGTTTAATCAGTTTTCTTTATGAAATCAAACCTGAATAAAAATAAAGATTAATTAAATTTAATAAATTCTAAATAAATAAATAAATAAATAAATTTAATATAGCTCAAAATTATGTCATTATCAGAACAAGTATAAACTAGGATTTTAGGTAAAACCTTTAATTATATTTCATCACAAAATTTTCTTTTTCTAGAAGATTAAAAATAAGAAACTCGAAAAATAATACAAAATTGGGTCCTATTAAAGATAGCTTATTCCTTGACAGACTTTAATGTTACGAACAATTTATATTTAAAGATGTATTTTAATAAGAAACCAAAGAGCTTAATTGCATTTAAAAAACCCCCAGTGCAGTTTAAACAACCTACCAATTTTCTAGAGACCTCCAAAGTAATTTATAAAAATTGCTTACATTAGAAGGCTGACTGCCCCCGACTGTTGCAATTCATGACAAAGCGCACATCTTACATTCAAAGAAGAGGCGCATTTCTTAGTCAGTTAGCCAATGACATTGGTAATAGCCCCCGGGTTGGCCAGGTGAGTCATTAACCGTTATGGGCTACTAGGGGCAATCGAAGCGATCTATAACGCGTCGCATCCAACGGATATATGACGCGTCGCATCCAACGGAACGGTCGGCTGCCAGGTTCTCTTCTACGCGACGCGCACTCTTATACGAGCGCGAACGAAAACACAACATGTTCGAGTTGCAAGCGGAGCCGTATAAAAGCCGGTGCCGTTGGACGAGTGCTTGAGATACAAGATACATTTGACGCGGTCGAGACACATGGATAGTCAGTTAGCTCGCTGTTGAAAAAGAAGAACGACGACGTGTGTGTGGGTGCAACAGCAGAAAGATACAAGATACAGAAACCAGAAAATACAACAAAATAAAATAATACCTCTCGGAACAAATATCTCGAAAATGATTTTTCGAATTATCTGTGAAGTTGAAATCGAGTTCCGAACCTGTGAGAAAAGTGGCAAAGTGAAAGAACAACATTTGGATTAAAGGCAGCAGCTGAAGCGAAACCCTCGTATTTCGGATAATATCAGACCTCAGTGGAGGAAAATCGAGAAGAGCCCAAGGTAAGCCAGAGGAGAATCCCCGACCTTAATGAGACCCCGACGCATTCGTCCGGCAAGGGGCAGGGGGGCAGGCGGCATGGGGCAGGAGGCATGGGGAAAATTGCAATAGAAATTGTCGCACAAACAAATAAACAACAAAAAGTGCACTTTAAGGGGTAATGAGTTTGTTCAACTTGCAGTTCTGCCTGTCTCTCTACGCGTTTGGTTTTTGCTTCCCCCAAAGGGGTGCGAATGCAAATTACACCTCGGGTCATGTGAAACTATTCTCGGACCGAAGTAGAGTTCCAGGCTAGCCTCCAGAGGCTTGAATTAATTTTTTGAGAGCTGTCGACTTTCAACATCTTCTTCGGGTTTTTCATGCAATTGTCATGCTCGCATGGACATTCAGTGCAGTTGTCTGCCGAGCCGCAATTAAAATTAATAAATAAATTAATTAATAAGCAGCGGGCCGCGATTTCGTTCCATATTGAAATCGCTAGGCAACCGACAACCGAGGGCCGAAACGAAAACAAAGACCGTCCCACTCACTCTATGCAACATGTTTTTCTCCGAGTGTAGGTGTACATGCCGCAGACATAATTACAACAAAGACAACAACAGTAACGGTGCGTGTGTGCAACGCGACTTGAGACGGCCAGACCGAGAGAGGAAATAAGCCAAAAGCGTTGGCGCTGAAATTCCAAAAAAAAAAAAAAAGTAAAAGATTATTTTTTGTTGGGTTGTGCAAGGCAATGAAAATCAGAAAAGTGATTTTTTCGTCAATTAAATTGTTCAAGGAGCCTACAAAGATTTGCTCGTAATTGAATCGAATGCGATTAACATAGTTTGTTGGGAAACGCGGCTGTTTGGCAAATTACAATAATGCCCGGCCATTAGCCGATTAGTTGGCCATTAACGGAGATGATTTCAGGGCTAACCGACTGCACTCACAGATACAGATACAGATACCCAAGTATATGCCGAGTCTTTCTGGCTAATTTTAGCACAACTTCCCTTGGAAGAAAACTTGCCCCATCAAATTTTATGGAGCTCTGTCTACTTCTGACCCAGTTTTCCGACGTGGCTTTCTTCGAGAACAACAAAAAAAAAAACAAGGAAGTGGCTACACACGGATGAAGCAAAGCCCGAGAGTCCGTATCCCAGTCCATAAACAAAATTCTTGCTCGGAAAAATCTTCCCTGCCCCATCTCCCATCCTGCCTCAATGTTGTAATTGCTTTTCAACTCTGCCGCTGGCAGTGCCACTGCCACTGCCAGTGCATTTCGCCCTGTTTTATGAATAATTTATGCACTTAATTGATTTTTGTTTATTGTTCGGTTCAAGTTAATTAATTACACACTTTATGCGTGCTGTCTCGTTACAGAATTTCTTCTCCGGCGCCACAAGAAAAAGGAAAAGCGAGAAACAAAATGGAAAAGCCAGCGAATGTAAACGAAACTAAAGTGCAGATGGAGAAGGAGCCAGTTGAGGCCGCTCCCGCCTCTGCCCATCAAACGGAGACCATCATTGACATTCCCCCCGTGTGCTCCGCCTCGAACTCCTCGTCCTACGACACGGACTGCAGCACGGCCAGCAGTACCTGCTGCACCCGCCAGGGCGAGCACATCTACATGCAGCGCGATCCCTGCCACGTCCCGGCCACGCCGCTTCCGGAGGCGTGCGGCGAGGATCTGGACATGCTGAAGTACGAGCACCGCAAGCACTGGCCCTGGTTCATCCTGGTGATCTCCATCATTGAGGTGAGTGTCTGCACGTACCATTTATTGCGGTCCTCGAATCAAAGCCGCCGCACAACTTCCACCCAAGAGCGATAAAAATGATTTAGCGGGGGGCCAGGCCGTGAAAGGAGGAAGTTTTCCAAGACTTTTCCGTGGTATTTCCCCGTTTTTCGCTCCCCACTTTCCACCAGACTGTGTCTGTGTCCGTGTCTGCCTCGGTGGCGCCCCCCGAAAATCGATTGTAAACAAGTCGAACAACAAACAGCCCAGCCACGAAACGAATAGCCTTTTTAGGGGTTCAAATTTGTGATTTTTAGACTAGCATATATAAAAGTACATAATATTTTTGTTATGTGAAAAATATAGGAGTCCTGAGTAGGAAGTAGCACGACAAGGCGGCCAACAGGGCGTATGAGTTCGCTCTTTTGAAGCGCAGCCAAGTTGGCAGCCGAATCCCTTCCATGGGACTTTATTTGGGACGCATTTCGGTCGCGTGCCAGACAGCCACAACATAAATCAGCTTGGGGATAACTCAGCCCACCCAAAAATAGTAGAAAAAACTAATCGAATCCCTTCCTCCGTCCAATTCCAGATTGCAATCTTCGCCTACGACCGCTACACCATGCCCGCCCAGAACTTCGGGCTGCCCGTCCCGATTCCGTCGGACTCGGTGCTGGTCTACCGGCCGGACAGGAGGCTCCAGGTGTGGCGCTTCTTCAGCTACATGTTCCTGCACGCCAACTGGTTCCACCTGGGCTTCAACATCGTCATCCAGCTGTTCTTCGGCATCCCCCTGGAGGTGATGCACGGCACGGCCAGGATTGGCGTCATCTACATGGCGGGCGTCTTCGCCGGATCCCTGGGAACGAGTGTGGTCGACTCGGAGGTGTTCCTGGTGGGGGCTAGCGGTGGTGTGTACGCCCTGCTGGCCGCCCACTTGGCCAACATCACCCTCAACTATGCGCACATGAAGAGCGCCTCCACGCAGCTGGGATCAGTGGTTATCTTCGGTGAGTTTCAAGCAATGCCATCTAGAAGGATAATGGAGCTTCTCTCTTGCCATTTCCTATCTGGGAAGTGTTTGTGGAACAACGTCACTAACTTGATTCCTTATTTTTCTTCTCATTTTAGTATCCTGCGACTTGGGATATGCTCTGTACACCCAGTACTTCGATGGCGGAGCCTTCGTCAAGGGTCCCCAGGTGTCGTACATCGCCCACCTCACAGGAGCCCTGGCGGGACTCACGATCGGCTTCCTGGTGCTGAAGAACTTCGGGCACCGGGAGTATGAGCAGCTCATCTGGTGGCTGGCGCTGGGCGTCTACTGCGCCTTCACCGTCTTCGCCATCGTCTTCAACCTGATCAACACGGTGACGGCCCAGCTGATGGAGGAGCAGGGCGAGGAGATCACCCAGCACCTGCTGCACGACCTGGGCGTGTCCTAAGCGCCAGGACCGTGCCCAGGACTCAGGAGAGATTGAGAGACATAGCGAGTTCGTGGCGAAGGATGAAAAGAAAAGTTCACTCTGCGATTTAGTTAAAAACTAAATTCGAATTAATTGGCTTTTGCTTTTCGGTTAGCATTACCGTTATCGTTATCGTTACCGTTACCGTTACCGTTTGCAGTTACCGTTAACCGTTTCAGTTCCGAAAACACAAACTCAACTCAAAACTAATAACACTGAAAGAAATACTATAAACCGAAGCCGAAACGTGTAAACAAATGTTGTGATAGAACCAAAGACTGAATTTATTTCGCGTGTAAAAACCAATTAAAAGATTGAGGAAACAGATTCGGAGCGGAGCAGTGGGATCCTCGGTGGAATCACCTCTCACTATGATTTAAATTAGGCAATTCGTTTCGCCTGTTTTCTTAAAAAACATTTATTTATTGGCCGCAATTAACTCTGAATGTATCGAAGCTGTATCGGGTGTTTATACATCCATAACTCGAACTATGTACGTAGTCCTAGCGATAGTATCTGTATCTGTAGGTATAACTAGCTCCCTAACAAATTGTTTCAAATTGTAAATACTATTAAGTCGCACACTAGTCAGCAAAACAAAGGAAAAGGCAAAAATCCGATGGAAAACCACAGCAAAGAACCATTCAGTTCAGATCAATTAAGCAAATCGAATTAAATTAAATTAAAGTCACTTAATGCGTTACAAAATCGAGCAAACATTTATCGTAATCCCCTCTTTATCGGAAAACCAACCACACCACACCACACAAAAGTATTACTAATTATATTTATTTATTGTAGGGCAAGCGAGGGTTTATTAATTTGTCAGTCGAGCCAACTATTTATTTATTTATTTAATAATTTAGTGAAATTCACACAAAACCAAGCACGAAAAAACAGGAGGTCAGGAGGAGAAAAACAAACTAATTCAACTGTAAAGAATATCCAATTGAAAATACACACGAGAAGCCAAAGAAAATAAAAATCAAAACATTTCAAGAATACAACAAAAAACACACAAAAAGCCTTTTTATTTTCCTTTCAGTTTTAGGTTTTTGATTTTCAGATGCCCACACTCTGAGGGCCATAAATAATCAAGGAGGAGATTATCAAGATACTTGACATATTGACCGATACTCTCCCCCACACATACAGTCGCAATCGCAAAAGATATATACACATTCATAGATAGATAGAAACATGTATGTATATCGTACGCAAATAGAAAAATATTCAAAGTAATCGCAGAATGAAAATAGCTAATCTGGCATGAAAGCCAGCAGAGCGAGAGCCAAAATAGAATCCTTGTGGGCCAGAAAGCCCCAAAAGTTAGCATATTCGATTCTCAATAATATCCGCAAAACCGAAAACCAAAAAACCGCAAAACGCCCACCCTCCTTCCAAGCACACACGATGTCCCCCGTTCCTTTCGAGAAATAGGAAAAGGAAATGTTCAGCACGAGACATTATAGATAAATAAATAAACAGAGAAAAATTGAACAAAAATAAATGTCTAAATTATAAATGAAATTCCTGTTTTCTTAATAAATAACCCTGGGTGGCTGAGCCGATGCCAGAGGTGGGGGAGGCCTCATTCAATCAATATTTGCTCCACATAAATATGAGCGCTTCAGCTCATGGCGAAAAATTGCAACTAAAACTTGGGGAAAATCCTTAATTAATACCCATTCCATGAGCTTCCCAGTGCCGGAGACTCTGTGTCAACGAATTTCCTCCACTGGCAGGCAGGCAGGCAGGGCGGAAGCAGAAAGCTGAGGGACGTCAGTCCGTCCAACAAATCGATATTTGCTCTATATATCGAAGTGAGCCGAAGTCGTCGCACAGCAAAGAAAATCCCCCATGAAATATGAAATATGTAGGAGTCGCAGAAGAATCTGCTAATAATTTATATTGTCATTTCCCACTGCTTTCAATCCTATCGGATTAGCAGGACTTAAGTCCATGAATTCTCAAATGAGCGTTTTGCTTGACCAACTTTCGGGGGATCTAAAGTCATAAGGACTTTCTGGGTCTAAAGAAAGTCGACTTTAAGGTACTTATTAATAATATTGGGGTGTGTTTCTATTAATTTTAGTAAAATATGGTTACTACCTTACTAACCAACAAACTTAGCCTTAAATCTTAAATCTCAAAAACTAACAAAACTAAAGAAACTACAGTTCGAGTACAAACCCTTTCCTAATGGGTACTTCTCCGAAAATCAGAATTATTAATTGTGCATAATCTAAGCAGCATATCACAATCTGAAATGATTGATTGCGTATTCCAATTATTTGCAGAAATGATTATAAAGAAATAAGTAACATAAACATACGTGACATACCTAAATATACTATTGTTTCTGTTATGTAACTAACCCAATGAGACTTTATAAACTATCACAAATGCCAATTAGTTTGAAGTCAAATTATGCAATTATGAACCTCCCTCCAAGGACAAACTAGACACGCTGTGAAGGTGCATCACAAACGGAGACCAAGACCGTGCCAATCCAGAGCAATCCAAATCCTAGGCAGCCTCCTGGGCAACAAGATTTATGGGAGACACAAGCTGCCGCCTCGTGGACATCCGAATTGAAATTCAGGCACAATGTCAACTGCAAACGGGGACGAGGTCAGCAGACGACAGGCTTAGCCTGCGACGGTGATTGCGACTTTGAATCGCAATCCGCATCGGATGGAAGCTCTCTGAAGCCGAAAAATCCACATAAATAACGCGAGCATCGCTGCCCCCATCCTCCGCAGCTCCTGTCCGGTGGACCAGCTTGTTTCTGCGAATGGCAGGTGCAACTCAATCAACGCTCCTCTCTCACCTGCCTGCCTGCCTGCTTGCGACGCACGAAAATGTTGCCACAACGTTGCATGTCATCTGGAGCTCTGGCTCTGGACAGAAGCTCTGGCTTCACAACTGGGACGACTCCTCGGAAGCCACCTGCCCAAAAGTTGACTTTGGACGTTTTTGTTTACATTTGGCAGAAAGGTGAAGTGGCGCAGCGAAAAGCTGCCACGGAATCGAGCCAGATCTGCAGCCGGAGTAGGTTCAGAACTCAAACTGAGGAAGCTGGTAGCCAGTTTCGAGTGGGTATCGCAGATCAACGATCTGCGGCCAGTAGGACCACCGATGAGAACTCTCGAAGGGTTCAATGTTCCTCAGAGAACTCAGCTGGAAAGCGATGACCCCCTAAAGAACAGAACTTTCAATAAAAACAAAAACAGACAACTATCGAAACCCTTTGCCCGAGCATCAACAAAAAATTGGTCGAAGAAAACCTTCCCTTTGAAAATCGTTAAAAATCCACGGAAGGCCCATCCGACCTGGAAACCCCAACCGATTCTTAAACGGAATACCTTAAACGAATTGTGGATCGATTCTCAACAAAACTGCATTAAAATCCAGATGCAAATATTTTTTCAGATTTTTTGTCAAATTTCCTGGAGGGTCCCCTTCAAAAATGCACAATAGTGCTTGGAGCCACTATAGGGCCACGGGGAAGGCTCTATCTTTGCCAAAACCCAACCGATTCCCACACGGAATACCTTAAACGAATTGTGGATCGATTCTCAACAAAACTGCATTAAAATCCAGATGCAAATATTTTTTCAAATTTTTTGTCAAATTTCCTGGAGGGTCCCCTTCAAAAATGCACAATAGTGCTTGGAGCCACTATAGGGCCACGGGGAAGGCTCTATCTTTGCCAAAACCCAACCGATTCCCACACCGAATACCTTAAACGAATTGTGGATCGATTCTCAACAAAACTGCATTAAAATCCAGATGTAAATATTTTTTCAGATTTTTTGTCAAATTTCCTGGAGGGTCCCCTTCAAAAATGCACAATAGTGCTTGGAGCCACTATAGGGCCCACGTGGAAGGCTCTATCTTTGGCAAAAATCATCCGATTCTTGAGCGGACTACCTTAAACGATTTGTCGATCAATTTTCCACAAACCTGCATCAAAATCTAAGAACATAATATTTTTTGAATTTTTTGTCAAATTTCCTGGAGGGTTCCCTTCAAAAATGCACAAAAGTGCTTGGAGCCACTATAGGGCCGCGGGGAAGGCTCTATCTTTGCCAAAACCCAACCGATTCCCAAACGGAATACCTTAAACGAATTGTGGATCGATTCTCAACAAAACTGCATTAAAATCCAGATGCAAACATTTTTTCAGATTTTTTGTCAAATTTTCTGGAGGGTCCCCTTCAAAAATGCACAATAGTGCTTGGAGCCACTATAGGGCCCACGGGGAAGGCTCAATCTTTGGCAAAAATCATCCGATTCTTGAGCGGACTACCTAAAACGATTTGTAGATCGATTCTCCACAAATCTGCATCAAAATCTAAGAACATAATATTTTGTAGATTTTTTGTCAAATTTCCTGGAGGGTCCCCTTCAAAAATGCGCAATAGTGCTTGGAGCCACTATAGGGCCACGGGGAAGGCTCTATCTTTGCCAAAACCCAACCGATTCCCAAACGGAATACCTTAAACGAATTGTGGATCGATTCTCAACAAAACTGCATTAAAATCCAGATGCAAATATTTTTTCAGATTTTTTGTCAAATTTCCTGGAGGGTCCCCTTCAAAAATGCACAATAGTGCTTGGAGCCACTATAGGGCCCACGGGGAAGGCTCTATCTTTGGCAAAAATCATCCTATTCTTGAGCGGACTACCTTAAACGATTTGTAGATCGATTCTCCACAAATCTGCATCAAAATCTAAGAACCTTATAATTTTTAAATTTTTTGTCAAATTTCCTGGAGGGTCCCCTTCAAAAATGCACAAAAGTGCTTGGAGCCACTATAGGGCCCACGGGGAAGGCTCTATCTTTGGCAAAAATCATCCTATTCTTGAGCGGACTACCTTAAACGATTTGTAGATCGATTCTCCACAAATCTGCATCAAAATCTAAGAACATAATATTTTTTGAATTTTTTGTCAAATTTCCTGGAGGGTCCCCTTCAAAAATGCACAAAAGTGCTTGGAGCCACTATAGGGCCCACGGGGAAGGCTCTATCTTTGGCAAAAATCATCCGATTCTTGAGCGGACTACCTTAAACGATTTGTAGATCGATTCTCCACAAATCTGCATCAAAATCTAAGAACATAATATTTTTTAGATTTTTTGTCAAATTTCCTGGAGGGTCCCCTTCAAAAATGCACAAAAGTGCTTGGAGCCACTATAGGGCCCACGGGGAAGGCTCTATCTTTGGCAAAAATCACCCGATTCTTGAGCGGACTACCTTAAACGATTTGTAGATCGATTCTCCACAAATCTGCATCAAAATCTAAGAACATAATATTTTTTGAATTTTTTGTCAAATTTCTTGGAGGGTCCCCTTCAAAAATGCACAAAAGTGCTTGGAGCCACTATAGGGCCCACGGGGAAGGCTCTATCTTTGGCAAAAATCATCCGATTCTTGAGCGGACTACCTTAAACGATTTGTAGATCGATTCTCCACAAATCTGCATCAAAATCTAAGAACATAATATTTTTTAGATTTTTTGTCAAATTTCCTGGAGGGTCCCCTTCAAAAATGCACAAAAGTGCTTGGAGCCACTATAGGGGCCACGGGGAAGGCTCTATCTTTGGCAAAAATCATCCGATTCTTGAGCGGACTACCTTAAACGATTTGTAGATCGATTCTCCACAAATCTGCATCAAAATCTAAGAACGTAATATTTTTTGAATTTTTTGTCAAATTTCCTGGAGGGTTCCCTTCAAAAATGCACAAAAGTGCTTGGAGCCACTATAGGGCCCACGGGGAAGGCTCTATCTTTGGCAAAAATCATCCGATTCTTGAGCGGACTACCTTAAACGATTTGTAGATCGATTCTCCACAAATCTGCATCAAAATCTAAGAACATAATATTTTTTGAATTTTTTGTCAAATTTCTTGGAGGGTCCCCTTCAAAAATGCACAAAAGTGCTTGGAGCCACTATAGGGCCCACGGGGAAGGCTCTATCTTTGGCAAAAATCACCCGATTCTTGAGCGGACTACCTTAAACGATTTGTAGATCGATTCTCCACAAATCTGCATCAAAATCTAAGAACATAATATTTTTTGAATTTTTTGTCAAATTTCCTGGAGGGTTCCCTTCAAAAATGCACAAAAGTGCTTGGAGCCACTATAGGGCCCACGGGGAAGGCTCTATCTTTGGCAAAAATCATCCGATTCTTGAGCGGACTACCTTAAACGATTTGTAGATCGATTCTCCACAAATCTGCATCAAAATCTAAGAACATAATATTTTTTAGATTTTTTGTCAAATTTCCTGGAGGGTCCCCTTCAAAAATGCACAAAAGTGCTTGGAGCCACTATAGGGGCCACGGGGAAGGCTCTATCTTTGGCAAAAATCATCCGATTCTTGAGCGGACTACCTTAAACGATTTGTAGATCGATTCTCCACAAATCTGCATCAAAATCTAAGAACGTAATATTTTTTGAATTTTTTGTCAAATTTCCTGGAGGGTTCCCTTCAAAAATGCACAAAAGTGCTTGGAGCCACTATAGGGCCCACGGGGAAGGCTCTATCTTTGGCAAAAATCATCCGATTCTTGAGCGGACTACCTTAAACGATTTGTAGATCGATTCTCCACAAATCTGCATCAAAATCTAAGAACATAATATTTTTTGAATTTTTTGTCAAATTTCTTGGAGGGTCCCCTTCAAAAATGCACAAAAGTGCTTGGAGCCACTATAGGGCCCACGGGGAAGGCTCTATCTTTGGCAAAAATCACCCGATTCTTGAGCGGACTACCTTAAACGATTTGTAGATCGATTCTCCACAAATCTGCATCAAAATCTAAGAACATAATATTTTTTGAATTTTTTGTCAAATTTCTTGGAGGGTCCCCTTCAAAAATGCACAAAAGTGCTTGGAGCCACTATAGGGCCCACGGGGAAGGCTCTATCTTTGGCAAAAATCACCCGATTCTTGAGCGGACTACCTTAAACGATTTGTAGATCGATTCTCCACAAATCTGCATCAAAATCTAAGAACATAATATTTTTTAGATTTTTTGTCAAATTTCCTGGAGGGTCCCCTTCAAAAATGCACAAAAGTGCTTGGAGCCACTATAGGGCCCACGGGGAAGGCTCTATCTTTGGCAAAAATCATCCGATTCTTGAGCGGACTACCTTAAACGAATTGTGGATCGATTCTCAACAAATCTGCATCAAAATCTAAGAACATAATATTTTTTGAATTTTTTGTCAAATTTCTTGGAGGGTCCCCTTCAAAAATGCACAAAAGTTCTTGGAGCCACTATAGGGCCCACGGGGAAGGCTCTATCTTTGGCAAAAATCACCCGATTCTTGAGCGGACTACCTTAAACGATTTGTAGATCGATTCTCCACAAATCTGCATCAAAATCTAAGAACATAATATTTTTTAGATTTTTTGTCAAATTTCCTGGAGGGTCCCCTTCAAAAATGCACAAAAGTGCTTGGAGCCACTATAGGGCCCACGGGGAAGGCTCTATCTTTGGCAAAAATCATCCGATTCTTGAGCGGACTACCTTAAACGAATTGTGGATCGATTCTCAACAAAACTGCATTAAAATCCAGATGAAAATATTTTTTGAATTTTTTGTCAAATTTCCTGGAGGCTCCCCTTCGAAAATCGTGAAAAGTCGTATCTTTGCCAAAACCCAACCGATTTCCAAACGGAATACCTTAAACGATTTGTGGATCGATTCTCAACAAAACTGCATTCAAATCCAGATGCAAATATTTTTTCAGATTTTTTGTCAAATTTCCTGGAGGCTCCTTCGAAAATCGTGAAAAGTGGCTGGAAGGGCTAAAGGGCCTGCGAAGAGTACCTGAAACTATTTGTTAATGCCCACCAAAAACGCAAACATTTTATGTGATTTAAAGACAAGTTACCTCTGAAGGGAGCTGAGCAAGTAAGCCAAATGTGGAATCCCTTAGGCCGTATAAACGAAACCTGCATCAGATAGTTTGAGAACTTTGTAGCTCTTAACAGTCCTAAAAAATCCAAGACCACCTATTAAAGCATAACCTTATCAACGCAACAAGTGCTCCTTAATGTGTCCTGACATTGACCCTGAGAAGCAATTATCCCTTCTGGTCGATCGGTTTGATCGTCCTGCCCGGCAGGACCCCGTTTTGCGGCTCAATTAGGCGGCGAAGTTAGAACTACCTGTGCGCCGAGGAGTCCTGCGTCTCTAGGCTACCCAAGTAGCAGCATGCTGGGGCGCTAATTGAATCGGAGAGAGCAAAGGTCAAAGGAAAAACCAACTAGGAAGCGATCGAAATAATTCATTGGGAATGTAAACTAAGGAACATGTCCTAACAGAAATGGGGCTAATCGTCAATCCTCGCTGTCGAGCAGATGCCCAGGATCCTTGATTATCAGCTTGAGGCGAAAGGCATCCACTCCGTTCAAGTAATATCGTGGCAAACGTCGCTCTCGGATGAATCCCAAACTTTGGTAAAGAGCCAACGCTGGCTTATTGGTCGTCTCAGTCTCCAGGACGACCATAGAGGCGTCCATCAGAGCCATTGCCTCAACGACCATTACCACCAAGGCTTTGCCGATTCCCCGCTTCCTGTAGCTCTCGTCCACCGCCAGCATGGCTATGTAGCCCTGCGCCACACCCGCCAGAGTCATCTCCAACTTGCTCACAATCACTCCCACATACCGGTCGCCATCCTTGGCGAAGAGGCAGAGATTCGGCCAGTTGTAGACAAAGTAGCGGTAGGTGTATATGGAGTAGGGTTCAGAGAGCTCCTTGTCGATCAGATTCTGAACCACCTTCAGCTGGGATTCGTTGTGGAATTCGCAAAAAGTATAGGAGCAAGGCTGGCACTCCTGACTGAGTCCAGGGGATTTCGCCTGGACATCCTTAACTAGTTCCTTGCCATCCTTTTCACTCATGTTTGTCCAAAATAAAAGTTTGAAAGTCTCCGAAAAGCTAACTAGGAGAGCTGTATGTGGAATCCAATGCTTCCCTACTTAATTCAAGATCTTGCTTTTTATGATTTTGTTTAATAGATTAACTTGCAGGAACTGGAAGGCACTCAACTTATTCCTAAAGTGCAAGGCACAGTCGGTAAGAGTGGTCTTTAGTGTATAAATCATATCAATCGGAGCCACATTATTCGCTTTGGAATTCACAACATTACCTGCAGATGCGCTGAGAAGGCAGCCACATCTTGGGTCTGTGGTGCGCAAACATGTTTATAAAAAGTACAAGTTAATATTTATGTAATTCCAGAGATGCGAACGAACCAGCCGCACAGATCATTACATTGACATATTCATGCGGAATCGGAGTCAGAATCGAATGCAGGGGAATTCCACGGAACACACAAACAATGGAGCACGCGACCATGGATCCAATGCATCCCACGCGGATCGGAAATCAACCTGCAACTGGCCACTGGCCACTGGCAACCTGCAGCTTGCGGCCTTTGTGTCGCGGAGAAGCATTTCGCATCTCGTCCAGTTGTCGTCGCTTTATCCGCAACATGGACAGCGGTTCGGACGGGGATCGGAATGCTTATCAAAAGGCGCACTTGTAGCTGTCATAAGGCCAACTGAAATATTGGCAGCCCAAACACAGAAACCGAAACACAGCAACAAGAGAAGTAAGCCCCCCAGCTCCCCATCTTTCGAGTCTTTTTTTCATACATTCTTTTTTTTTGCAATAATAAACTGCTCTGGACAAAAGTTCCACTTCAGGTGGAGACCGAAACACAGAGAAAAAAGGGAGGACTGCCCCAGGACTTGTCCATTTATCTCACTCGACGCCGGCGACGGCAAATATGGAAATTTGTTGGGTTTGGCCGCCTTTTCTTTTGCGGGATGCACCCTCCGCCACTTAAACCGCTTCATTAAACACTCTGTGGCCCTGTGTTCCGAGTCCTGGGCCAAGTGTCCTTATGTCCTGGCGGTGTAATTAATTTCTGCCACAGTCGAGAATTTGAAAAAGCTTAGAAATGCGGCCGAGAAGTGGGGGAGACCGTTTTCCGTGCCACTGGAGTAATTATGAAAAGGGAGTCGAGTGGCGGGATAATGGCAGGAGTTGCCAAAAGAAGTTTGCACAGTCAAAAGGATTCAAAAATGCAAAAGGACTTAGGAAACTCCAAACATTCAAAGGGGAATAACTGAATCTAATTAAAGTACTAGTGACGAGCCAGAGTTATAAACAGGCGACAAATGGACGCTTTTCCAATCAATAAATAATACAAATGGTTTACTTTCATGAAGGATAAACCCAAATCAGGACACAAAGCCAACTCAGTCAGAATCAGGCCGAAATCACAGGGCGGGGTAAGTAATGGGCCGGCTAATCTGATTTAGGCCAAGAAAGTGACTCGGACCTCGTATCGAGTTACCCCAAAAAAGTTGTCAGCCCCGGCCCCAAGTGTCCTTTATGGGCCTTTTAGGTTAATTGCTTCTGTTGCATTCCCTCCATTAACCGCTGGTCACATGAGGTCATTGTGGCTTCATTCTGTTCTGGGGAGCACTTCCTCATCCGGACTCGGAAGTTGGGCCACCGGCAATGGGAAACACAATCAACACGAACGTATACACCAAATTAGTTTTCATATATGCAAAGTCGAGGGTGGAGCCGTGGCTCAGAGCTGTCGCCACCCGCCCGGGACACCTGTGCGTGCTCGACGGCAATTCCGTATTCTTCCTTTCCGTCCTGCCGGCACAGACAACAAAGGATTCACTCTGTGGAGCTCTTCGAGGGCAACTGTCAAAGTCGTGGCAGACATTTTCATAATTTTCACATGCTCAGGGAGAGCCCCTTCATTTCCCATTCCCCTTTTTCGGTCTTTCAGCCAGGCGTGCCTCTTAATTGCCCTGACTAGCACCAGGAACTGAAGCAGCAGAAGGAGCAGGAGCCGGAGCCGGGGAAGGATAAGAGTCGGGGTAATGCTATTTTGAGCCTGTCATGCCGAGTGTCACCTGCTGGGATTTGTGCGAGTGCCACGTTGCCTCCAAGGTCAGGCCGAGCATTTTCCCATTTTCACTCTTTTCTCCTTTAAATATGTTAATATTGTTTCTTATGACCTAATAATGACTGAAATTACGGCAAGGCAGCAAATGACAATTTATGGAAATCAGTTTATTTAATGGCAATTGGATTAATATAGACAGGTTATTTGAATAAAGAGCATTAAACATGTTTTACTAAGGAGAGTTTTAGTTATTTTTATTAAAGCGTCTTGTATTTTATATGGAAACAGAGGGTGAAAATGTTAAAAGAAGAGCATTCAAGAGTTTAGTTAGATTTAGTAAGCTTTTAGTTACTTTTAGCTACAAATATTAATTGCTAGTCACTTACCTAAGTTGCAAATAGTAACTCAGCTTCAATAAACTAATGCCAGTCACTCTCTCAAATAGAATATCCTTCGAATTATGATTCTATATTCTTTCCAGTAATGAATCATCGTGCATTTGATCATCAAGAATTGGGTTCAAGGTTCATAATGTTTAAAAATCTAAAAAAAAGAGCTTTAATAGATTAGCCTTATTAATTTAGTAGCAATTTGATTACCAAAAACCTGCATGGTTATCCCACAAATAGAATATCCTCCGAATTCTGATTCAAGAGCATAGCGTAACGTAATGAATCATCCTGCATTTTGTCATTAAACATTAAATACTTTGAAGTTTCAAGTTCATAAAGTTGAAAAAGCTAAAATAAAAACCAATATATAGATTAGCTTTAGTTATTTTCTAAGAAGATATCTATCTACTTATCATTAGTAGCGACTTAGTAAAGCTAGTCACTCTCATAAATAGATGGGTTCCCGCCATCCGACATCAAATTAGCAAATTCGAGCATTAATCAGCGTCAACGGTAGTGGCTCCTCCTGTCTTGGCCACTAAAGGGACCCAGTTGGGCTCTCGTCACAAATTTTTGCATTTGTTGTCTCGCATTTTTCCATCTTTCAGCTCAGTTCTTCTTCTTCCGTACGCGTCTGCCGCAATCACACACAGATACACCCACACATTCAACAAAAAATGCTATGTGACAAGACTGACGAATGACTTGACGGCGAAATGTTCTCAAACAAACATAAATTCCGTGTCCGCCGGGATTGGGATTTGTTGACTGCACTGCCGGCTGGGCTGTGTGTCCTGATGTTTTTCCAAAGTCCTGGCCAAAACACGCAACGTGCAAATGCCACGGAGAACCTCGCAAAAAGCCAAAGTTAACACGAACGCAGGGCGGATTGTCGCAGGTGCGCGTGTCATGCGAAAATGTAGTTTTTTGCCCCCGGATTGTGTCATAACTCACGGCAATGATAAGGATGGATGGTCCAATGCTATCCGTCATCACGCAAGCCGGTTAAATCACACAATCTATCACTATTTAATGCATTTTATTCCCATTTTACACGCCCGATCGAAGGGGACGCCGCGATCCCTCGGATACAACTGAGTGGCAACCCTTGCCAGAGGAGCATTAACCCTTAGTCAGTCAATTTTACTTCAATTGTTATTTATTTTCATGTAAATACAAAGTGTGTATATTTCTTTTGGTGCTGGGTCTTACCACTAACCATACAGCATATAGACAACCCATTTCATACAACGAAAATGGACGCGAAAATTTCTTGCTACAGGCCCCAGCAGGCCCCAGAGCGGATTTCTTACGCTCTCTTACGCTCATCGTTCGTTCATCTTACGCTCATTCTCGCATTAAATGTTTTCTGTTTCTCAGTCTCTAAACGGAGCGCGATGAAGAAGGTTGGCCTGCGCTTCGGTTGATCTTTGTATGTATGCGTGTCACACATTCACATACATGGGTGTATGTGTGCGTGCGATTTCGTTTCGAAGCCAGCGCACAAAATTTTGATTTTTCTTACTTTTAAGGCTTGCTACCCTAACAAAATTCGGGTATTCGTTATTTGATGAAATGACGAAAGAAATTATATTATTTTTATTTTATTTTTTTTATTATTTCAGCATACATTTTTAATTTATTTAGGAATAAGATTAAGTGTTAGTAGTAAAATGTTTTCTGTATATATATTTTTACGAATCATTAAAAATCAATATACTGAGAAAGTGTCAGAGTATATTTCGGTCGGAGTCACTTAAAGCGCCGATTGCTTTTAAGTTTTTGTTGTTCTGCAAGAGGCTTGTGCATGCCTACTCTAACGATGGAATGATTTTTAGGGGAGGGTGAAGACACGAAAACAGCTGATGGACTTGTTTACCTTTTTTGTTTACAATTTTTCAGGCACTTGTTATTATATTTTGGGTTATTGTGAGATTTAATTAAATTATTGTCGTTAATTTAATAATTTCCTTATATATATTTCCTTATATATAATAACTTTAAAAAGTAATTTAATTCTTCACCCGTCTTCACCCTCCCTAAAAATCATTCCATCGTTAGAGTAGGCATGCACAAGCCTCTTGCAGAACAACAAAAACTTAAAAGCAATCGGCGCTTTAAGTGACTCCGACCGAAATATACTCTGACACTTTCTCAGTATATTGATTTTTAATGATTCGTAAAAATATATATACAGAAAACATTTTACTACTAACACTTAATCTTATTCCTAAATAAATTAAAAATGTATGCTGAAATAATAAAAAAAAATAAAATAAAAAATAATATAATTTCTTTCGTCATTTCATCAAATAACGAATACCCGAATTTTGTTAGGGTAGCAAGCCTTAAAAGTAAGAAAAATCAAAATTTTGTGCGCTGGCTTCGAAACGAAATCGCACGCACACATACACCCATGTATGTGAATGTGTGACACGCATACATACAAAGATCAACCGAAGCGCAGGCCAACCTTCTTCATCGCGCTCCGTTTAGAGACTGAGAAACAGAAAACATTTATTGCGAGAATGAGCGTAAGATGAACGAACGATGAGCGTAAGAGAGCGTAAGAAATCCGCTCTGGGGCCTGCTGGGGCCTGTCGCAAGAAATTTTCGCGTCCATTTTCGTTGTATGAAATGGGTTGTCTATATGCTGTATGGTTAGTGGTCTTACATAATTGAGTCTCTAAAGCTGGCAGTGTGCTATACGCTCGGCTATATCAAATTGAAACCGATTTCTCGCCATTTTTGTCTTATCATTCGGTTGTGGACTTGAGGTAGGTTTATCTCAAACATCGTAAGGCCTGTGAATTTAATTTTAAAACAAACTGCATCGCCAATATCGGTTTCCATATAGCCTATAGAAGCGTACGTATATTTATCGTATTTTACAGCGTCTGTAGATTTATTCTTAGGTCCTATAAAGTCTTATGGTTCCGCATTCAACGAATGCTTATCCACTTGGAAAAAGTTGTAATCCTTGAGCAGTATGTTACACCTAATCAGTTCGATTTGTTGTAAATATTCTCGTGCAATTCTTATTGCTTACACCTAGCTAGCAAACAAAACAAAATTATTTACGCCAATTACACGTAAGCATTTAAAGATACTTCTATATACCTGATTTACAGATACAGAGCTAACAAAACAATAAACGGGAAACTTAATCGACGTCCGAAAACAATAAAAATTCAACGAACGCAACGAACAAAATTCAAGCAAATTAATTCAAGACAAAGCTAATAATAATAAACTAATAATGTTGTTCCAGATATTGGAACAGATCCGCCTGGGATGTTACACCTGAAAGTCGTTGTAGTAGGTCTCTGTAACCCGGATTTTTTCCACACGAGTGCTCAACAGGGCGAATCCGTTGAGGATGTTGAAGGCAATGGCGAACACCACCAGAGCTGAGTATGTCCCCAAGGCGATCCACCAGAGCAGCTGCTCATGCAGCTTCTGCTCGAAGCTTTTCAGTACAAGCAGCCCGATCGTCAGCCCAGCTATGGCTCCAGCCAAGTGGGCCACAAACGAGACTGCTGCCGGTCCTTCAACCTGGTCGATGTTGGGAAACTCACTGGAAGATCCGAGTGGCAGATCTTCACCAGCGTAGCGTGCATATATAGCGAACCCAAAGTCGAAGGAAACTGCAAGGAGGATAAGTAGATATCAGTAGAAGTTAAAACTCAGTTTTTCTTAAGAACCTACCGAAAATCAAAATGTGAAGCAATCTTATGACCCCGTAGCGCATCTGGTGGTAGTTAAGCAAAACGTTCGCCAGATGTGCAGCCAGTAAGGCATAAACTCCTCCGCTGGCTCCTACCAGAAAGACCTCCGGATCGAAAATGCTGGTGCCCAGACTTCCGGCAAGCACTCCAGAGAAGTAGATGCAGGCAATCCTCGTGGAGCCGTGGACCATTTCCAGCGGCAGGCCAAACACCAACTGGACGGCCACATTGAAGCCGAGGTGGAGCCATCCTGCGTGGAGCACCATGTAGAACAGAAAGCGCCAGATCTCATGGCGCTTGTCGGGACGGTATATGAACATCGAGTCCGATGGAATGGGCCCTCTTGCAGCAGCCTCACCAGTGACCATCGTGTGGTAGACAAAAAATCCGAGCTATAAATGCATTTTGCATAAAAACGTATTTTAAAATAGATATAGTTACTAAACCCACCTCCACCATTGTGACGAGGATTATGAAGAACGGCGGCGGACAGCAGGTGTAGCGATCGGCATAGTACTTGCGATCCCGCTCCTCGGGCAGGATCTCCATGGCCACGGCATGAACCATTTTCCGGAACAGGGGCGGTTCGTGGAGCACCAATTGAAAATCGTTTTCGGAGCAGACTTCTCTATCCCGGTGGTGTACGGCGCATTTAAAGCTCCGGGTCCGCTTGCCGCTCATCTGGAAGAGAATGAAGTATTATTGAGATTGTATTTTATTTTAATCCTGACAAAGTAGGCTTGATCTGAAAACTCTAATCAAGGTGTCAACCGAGTCCAAACCATACCTCAGACCCGCATCAACCCCGTCAGAACCCGGATCGGAAATTTCAATCAAATATTATATTTCTAAAATTTAAAATTTGTTTTTGTAATTTTACATTTTGCCACGATGTCGAAGATCTATCTGAAGGCCATGGAGGAGGTGGTGCACCGCAACTCGGACAACACCAACCGCATTCTGGAACAGGCTCAGGGATACGTGGTCTCCGAGAACGCCACCGATACCCTTCTCCACACATCCTTTGATCTGACCACTGCCCAGGGAGTGGTGAAGCACTTGCATGCCAGCTTCTTGCGGCTGGCCCAGAGTGGTGTTCGTGACATCGATCCGGAAGATCAGTTGTGCTTCCTGCGCGTGCGCACCCGAAAATATGAGTTCCTAACTGCTCCCGAGGAGTATTTCACCGTGACCGTGATGCTTTAGGCCCATTGACCATTCGAGGGGTTAATAGGGTTGTTGGCGGGTGGTGGTGGCAACAATAATACGGACACGGCTGTGCCCCCTCTGGCACACACACATCCACTCCCTCTCTTATACCAGTCGAGTGCCATTCGTGGGAGTTATCGTTGGCAAATCGACAGCATAAATCTCCAACTAACCCGAAAACTAAACGAGCCATAAAATTATGAACAGAATCTTTATGCGTGTGACTGGCGAAACTAAATGTTTATTATGTAATTAAGATGTTAGCAAAGATGCCAGCCCAACAAAGCCCGCACATAAAACAGAAGCAGCAGCCGCAGCAGTAGCACCAGCAACAACAACATGTAAAATAAAGCAGACTAAAAAGCAGACGAAAATCCGCAAAAAGCGGAAAATGTGTATTGTGTTTAATTAACAAAAGCCGGGGACAGGGATTTGCGGGGAAAAAGAATCCAAATGAAGCCTACACGCAATTAAAATGCACGATTACGATTGCGAAAGAAAAAGGCCACAAATTAAGCTTGACACGGCCCCAGGCACAAAATAGTTACTTCCGCCAGTCGGGCCAGTTAGTGCCAGTAATTATTAAATTTTATTTTAATTGATAAATTTCCTTCCAGACTGGAAGCTACAGCTGACTCTCTTCCAAGCACGTTTTCAGGTCTACTTCGCAAGCTAACGGAAATCAAAGATGTGAATTATATAAATCCCACTAATCGTTTTATCAATGAATTTTAAACTGTCAATTACAATTTTCATTCTTATGCGTATTAAATAAAAACAAGCTTATAAAGCCATTAAAGTTCATTGATAAATAATTATCCAACCATGGAGACTTACGCGGTGGAATCCGAAAAGAGAGGAATGTTCTCTTTTTACAGGATCGATAAGTTAGCCATCATCTTTTTAAATTTATTAACTAAACTAACAAAAAACAATAAGGAAAACGAAAAACTATTAAACTGCTTTCCCGCCAGCGTGCGTAACTTTCATCTTCTCTAGAGCGCCATTGTGTGGGTGCACATTCCGATTCCAGGGTTGTCGCTAAATTTGCATAATCAGTGTTGCACAACGCCAAGATCGGGCCAAGTTCAAAACATTGGCATCCCGAGGAGGAAGTAAACACACAATAAGACTTATTTCCGATTGCCGGACCTAATTCCAAGTATTAAACTGTTACGATTCGCACACAATGGGCGAAGAGAATCTGTGTTGTCAACAATGGGAACACCCAACACGCATTGTGGCCGGGTGACAAATCGCATTTTCCCATTTTTCGGCAAGATCAAGCGATCACAACAAAGTGCCAACAGGGCCGAATTGGGGGAAAATTGTATATTTCCCAACAAATAATTGCTTATCGTTTGTTTAGTGGACTCTGGCTGGCTGCGTTGCCCAACGAGCTGCTCGGCTGCTGTGGCTGATAATGTCATTATCCTTGCTGAAGGAAAAGAATTCCGGATCGCCACATGACGTCACCAGGTAGTCGACCTCGATCCTGGCCTTTGGTAACAATAAAGGGATCATAAATAGTTCAGACATTTATTCTTAAAGCCTTTATATTTTTGCTTAATAAAATTAATAAAATTTTGGTAAAAAAAAGAAATTATTTGTGGTCCTTAGAGCCCTTTTTATAAAGAGTATTTAAATTAAGAATACTCTTCCTTATTAAAAGTTTAAGGCAAGTATAATTCATAAATATGTGACCTCTTCTGTACCTTACACTTCATTCACCTTTTACAGGCCAACAAATTGAGGCAAAACATTTAACGCTGGGTCAGCGGACATGGTCAAACACCCGAGCGGATCGGGGAGTGAGGAACGAGGAGGTCGCTTGTAGGACGACGTTGGCGGCTCTCTCTAGGAGCAACAAAAAATTCCTTTGAAATGCGCCCGTTGCAGCAGCCATACACAAACACACATCGCAATATGTATTTTCCCGTGTTTTTTGTTGCCGACCCTGTGGCTATGCGCAAAAAAGGACATCTCCTCCGGCGGTGGCTCCGGTGGCCCTATACCTCTATAATTGTATGGATATTTTGGGTGGCAGGCTCGCAGGATCAGGCCGGTGCTGGTGGCGGCAGACCATTGTGTGCTCTCTCTATTATGCATTGCGTACGACCTCGCCCGCCGTGTTGACATTTTTATTCCAAACAGTTGAGCAATATTTATAGACTGCCTGGATGGTGGACGCTGCGTACTGCATGGCCCATGGCTGCATATCCAGGCGACCATGTAAAACATCCTTGTGGCTTGCAGCTTATTAAGTGTGCTATTTGATTAACATTGTTCCATGGCCTCAGTCACGTTTAATGGAAGAACAAAGGGAATCTTTACGCCGCGGATTGGAGCCCGAATCGCAATAGGTTCATGTTAAAACATTATTGTTTAAAAATGTTTAACAACCAATTAGTAATTGGGCCATGCTTAATTCGTAGCTAGGCAAACTAAGATGTCAGTCCAAGCTAATTCCTTGCCCAATTTAATTCAAGCTAATGAACTGAAAATAGACCTCTGATTGCCTCACCTACTTATTTACTTTCTTTTTCCTTGGCAGCTTGTTAAATGCCATACTTTTAGTGCCCAAGAGCAAACCTGTGACTCGAGATTTGTGGATATGTTTGCACAGAGGAAACACCTTGGAGCTTGAGCCTACAGCCCGGAGACAATAACTTCATCGACACCGGCGCCGACCCCGGCCAGATCATCTAATTGAATGACAATATTATGCCAAGGCCTAATTCAATTTGCATTGCTTGGGAATCGCTGCAGGTGGAGCTTGTGGAACATTTGTTGAATCTTAAACAAACACGGCAATTACGGCCGACGGATGCACTTGTCTGGCCAAAATGACTTCGGCCTGTAATTAGCCCGGGGACGAAAGGATGCGGGATGAGAGTTACACACGCCCATGCGTACCGTTTTTTGTTCCTGGTGTTTTGGCCTTTGTCGGCCTTCTCGGGGGTCCCTGGCTAATTATCACATTTTTACTCATTAAATTCACATTTGCCGGCTTTTTCATTGTTTCTTTTTGCCTTGCAGGACCTGCGCTGATCCCGCTGCCTAATTACAGGGTAATCAGGCTTTCAGCTACCGTTGACCCAGCGAATGATGATTGATTAAGGCCAATCAGAGAGTCTCCTCCAGGTTCTTGGGTCGAATGATGTAAAAAACTACGACGGATCTTCCCCCATTTAGCCCGACTCACTTTAAGTGACATCTGCTCCTCCAGCGCGTGCCGAACAAAGGGCGAGGAAAGTGCAAACAGCAGCTGAAATGGATATGGAAAGCAGCCCGCAACAAAAAATAAGGAAAAAGCAAATCGAAAACTGATTTGGAGCGGAAGTTCGTTTGCACCTTTCTGCAGTTTCCTGTATTTGCCGCCGTCAGAACAATAAACACACACAAGAAGCCGGGGCTTCTACAATCGCAATCAGAATCGGCGGAGTGCTCTATATAGTACGAGTGCCTTGACTTGTCTTGGCCTTTGACGCCGTCTTTTGTATTAACAGAATTCAAATTGAGATGGAGATGGAAGTCACCGCCCGTTGGCTTTTGTTTGAGCTGCAAATCGAAAGCCATGCGCGAATTCCATATGGAGCAGATATTAAGGATATGCGTGTGCACAGGGAGAAACAAAGAAGAGGACTATTTGTACCCAAAGGCTTTGTCTAGAAAATATTTCTCAAAAATCTCTATATTATTTCGCATATGAGTTCATGTATATTTCTTTTAGGTCCTTTAAACAAACAATTATTTCTTTGTGTGTATGCAAAAGCAAAGGACAAGGATCTCTGGCAGCTGCTCCTTCAGAGCTCTGTATTTGATTTGCGATTCGAGGCAGGCGGAAATGGAATGACACGCGAGGCACTCTGCGCTCACTCACTTTGTTTGAGGATTGGCAAAAATGGTGCCTCCGCGGGCATCTGACACAAAAAACAAGGCAGCAAGGACCTATCCAGGATCCGCCGAAAGCGACTTCCACTTGAGTCCGTCGGTACCGCACGCATTGTTTGCTCTTCGAGCTGCTTTGAGTCGAGGGGCGTGTGCTGTGGAAATCGGATATCGGATCGCTCGGAACAATCAAATAGAGCGGCAGCGAGTTTTCCAACCCACTGAGCAGTCGCAAATGGCTGGCAGGGAATCAGCTGCCACAAAGATGCCTCGAATCCATACCTAGGAAGGTGTTATGCCCGACCCGCGCGTGTCCTAGGCTTTGGAGTGGTCAAAATTGGACACTGGCCCCCGCGTCTCATTAGCACCGAGGGTCGCCGAGGGTTAATGATGCGCACCCCGTGCCCGCGCTTCCGCCTTCAACTACATCTCCGCCTCCACCCCGGGACGCAATTACCCGAGGCACTTGAGCTTGAAGAGAAGTACGAGTAGGAGTATGGAATATGCAGCAGTGGCAATGGTTGATACATTGACCCCGCGGCCCGGGGACAGTGGCTCGGGTTTTATGGTGTCGTCGTAAATGTCAGGTGCGCGCACCCCATTTAAATTTATTCATCGTAATTAGTTGTCGCTATGTAGCGGGCATAGTGAATAGCCCACGAAAACTAATTTGATTTCCACAACTACCAGGGGCCAAGGGCGCACCATACTCCTCATACACTCCGGATTACGCGGCGCATATCTCCCGCTGCCGTTTGCTGCAAACACACACGAAATTCGATTTCCCGTTCCCGCTTTGTAGATAAATTTTGTGGCGCGGATTATGCCAGCCATAAATGTATAAATGGGACACAAAACACACATGCCTCACCTGCAGGTGTGCCGGGGAAAACATGCAAAAACGATCATTGCAAGATATATGTTTGTTCCTATATGGGAACGCCGCAGGATGCCCAACCGAAAGCATTGCTGCCACAATATTCTCGCCACTCGCTTATCGCCAAATTCCGTGACGATGGCAAAAATATTGCAACGTATCCAATCGGGAGTGGGGAGTGGAAGGAGGAGGAAAGGGTTCTGGCCCTGGTCCTGGTCCGTTTCGGGTGCACGTCGTTATCCTTGCCCCGGATGCACAACAATCAAAATAAACGGCTGCCAAATTGACCATTGACCAAACATCGTCAGCACCCAAACGAGGCAAGGGAGCGACAGAGGAGGATGGCCAGACTCGGAGGAAGGATGTGGGTGTAGCTGTGGGAGGGGCAGCATCATCTTTGACACTGTCACGTCCAGTTCGTTTCAAATTCACAAGTCAGAGTCATCACAGACGGAGTAATGTTTTCTGGTTAGCCAGGAAGAAAAACGATTAAATGAATGGAAAGGGGGAACTTTAAAGAAAGAGTTGAGAAACAGTTCTTAAATTTGTGCTTAAGTCCTAAGATTTATCCTTAATTGTCCTCTAACTATATTGCTTTTCAATTTGAACTCAAACGCTACCTGTAATGGAGCATAATTGATGCCCCACCTGGCCAACTGGCCATCGGGAGTTAGTAACTGCTGCTTTATAATTAACCAGAAATGTGTGTTCGCTCATATTAAAGCCCCCACTCCGACTTGCGCGATATTATTGCAGAATAATGAAATCGCCAAGAGATTCCAATTCAATCTACGCGCCGCGTAGGCCATTTATGGATTGGCATTGATTTAATACCGCGTCGCGGAGATCGCCTCCAGGTTTTAAACTGCCACTGGCTGGCATAGGCGTCCGAGGCGTCCCCCGAGTCCGAGGCGCAAGGCATTTTGCACCTACTTCGGGGCCTCACGGCTCCAAAGTCCGAATCTGATCTGATTCCGCCGCCTATCTGGCCTGGAGATCAGCGGCAACAGACGCCACCGCTCTGATGGATGGAGCAGAAGGCAGGTGATATGGGGAGAGAATCTCGACACTTGAAAGTTTTTCATAAATTTTAATAGAACTACCATATTTTGAAGCCTGAAGGTATCCAGTTGAAGCCCTTTTTATCGTAAAAGTAAGCATATTTGTATATCCTTACATGATCATACCTAATAGTATAGTAATACATTGATTTTTTGAGTGCACCTCCTCAATGTTTATTCAATAAACCCGATCTGAGATGCAGCACCAGGAACTGGAGGAGCTGGAGAAGCAGCTGGCTAGCTGGCTGGCTGGCATTCCTCCAAGAAGAGAGGCCACCGTTCTGCAGTTGGCCCATTCAGAAGAAGACAAGCCGCTGGAATTTCTTGGTGCGTGCTCGGCACAGGTTCAGCTGGTTGCCTTGCTGGAGCTGCAGCTTCGGCGTCTGCCAGCTGCGTCTCCTGATTATGATAATGGCAGCCGGACTGGATCGGGACAGAGCCAGGGACCATGCAGCACCGGGCCAGTTGGGCTCTGCGCAATTGCTTTCGTTTATGATCGAATGATCGAATGCTTGGCAGATCCGTTGACTTTCTGATTAATGCAAGAATGCTCCTTGGCGGCGTTCCAGCTTTTTGCCGATCCCAACGCCACCACCACCACCATGGTCGGCTGCAATTAAAAGTGCCTACCCTCATCCAAAGGGTCATTGGAGCTTTGGGGCTTAGGCGAAGGCGAAGGCCAGGGAATGAAATTAATGAATGAATATGCCAAGGACTTTTAAGGAAGTAGCAGCACTCGATACTCAAGGGATTTAAGTTCAAGAAATGGATACCAAAGGAACTCAGCTTAGGGCGAAGTCCTAGACGTTCTAGATGAAATATTAATTAGAATCTTAGTCGATGTTTATTATCCCAAGACACATCCATATAATAGGTAAAAACTAAATACAATATGTCTAGTATAAACATAAGGTAAAACCCTATTTGAAAGGCTTCCTTATAACACTAAATTATGTAATCTATCCATGGCTTTCCCGGAACCAAAAACCTCCTAAGATCGTCCACAAATCCCGATAAGAGCATTTACAGGTCGCTCATGTCCAGAGAGACCCACACAGATTGATTCTTGACCGGCTGCCGCCGCCTGCTGTGTCTGAAAGCCTGTAGCTGAACCCAAACCCGGCACCGGGACCGGGACTGGGGCTCTGGTTGAGACTGGCCAGATGCAGTCGATCGATCCCCGATCCTATCGACCAAACAACAGTCGCCAGCGAGCCAGCCGGGCAGTTAGCCTCGTGCCTGCAGTTGTCATAACGTTCAACACATTGCGCCCCTCGGTGGCGTCGTCGTCTTGGCCGCGGGGCCGGTCCTCCACCAGATCAACCAGATCAGAGGCCGGCCTTCTGGACTCTCTGCGCTGCCATAAAAGGATTTGTCACGTGCGAGCTTTTGTTGAAAAGGCAACAATCAACGGCAGCCCTGCATTATGCATGGCGCATTGCCAGCGTCGGACATCGTTCGCGGCATTCCACGCGGTCCGATCCAGGAGGCGAGTCCTGGTCCAGCAGATCATTGAAATTTATAATTAAGTGGAAATATGTTGTCTACATTGGCAACAAGGATCTCAGATGGCTGCCGGAGATATGAATTCCAAACAAACTATATAAGTAGGGGTGTGGGGCGAGACCCTCAATCGGAATAACAAATGCATTAGCAGGCCAAACAAGGATCTAATAATGTCCTCGTGAAGGGAATAGAAACGTGAATGGAAATCCATTGTGCAAAGAAATGCCAAAGGGCATGCCCCCTCCACAATTACTGTTAGGCACACACACACTCACACAGGACAGATAGAGGACAAATACGAGGCCTGTCCAGGGGCCTGGCTAATTCATGACTTTAAGGACACTTTGGCAAACAATCGAACGGCCAAGGCGAAGGAATATTCGCTTTGGAATTGATTATGCATGAGTGTCCTAGGCCACATCGTACCATATCCTGTGTACGTCCTCTGCGGTTTGTGTGCGTGCCAATCAACATTGGGGAGAATCAATCAAAATGCAATAGGATTGGCAAGCAAAAGGAAGCCCCCGAGAGCCCCGAGCCTCCCACGCAGAAGTCACTTTTCGGAAGGAAGCAGCTGCACTCAAGCTTAACTGCAAGTTAGCCAGTTCCAGGACGTGCAGGACAATCTTTTTCGAAGCACATCGGGCCAAATAGGCAGAACGAGGCCCCAGGTAACCATGACAAACAATCAAATGTCCGGCAGGGCGTTGCCAAGGCCCAAGGGAGCCGTAACCTTGCACACCGAAAAAGGATTGCCGGAATTGGGCAAAGAGAATATGAAGGACATGGACTGATTCAAGTGATCATCTTGAATATATCCTTCCTTTTTTAATAAAAAGTTGAAAAAAATATGAAATATTCTCTTAAAATTAAAACCTTTTTTCTCGATGTAGCCGTAAGCATTTATTTGCCAAGCGCACTTTTTGCATTTGCCAAACAAGAGGCCAGGACGAAGCCTTGTCCTCCAGCTCCTTGTTTGAACACGAGCCTACACTTTGCTCGTGGTCCTGACCGAGTACTTTGCACCTGTGTTTGCACTTAAATCGAGTTTGCCGTTGATGAGCAGCCGAGGAGGAGGTAAACACACATGGGTGCCTGGCCACTGGACCATTGTAATTGCGGACAGGGGCACTCACCACATTCACAAAGTCCTGGAACGTCACGTAGCCGGGTCCGGTGGGCAGCTGCGCCTTCTTGGCCCGCTCCAGCAGCAGCTCCCGCTTGTTCATAGGCACTTGGGACAGGAACTCCGGCGACTTGAGGGCCACCAGGAATTCTGTAACTGAGATCTCTCCAAATCCTTCGGGATCGAACTGGGGGGAATACATATTAGTTTTTATCCCGAACTTAATTAGCAAAGGGGATAACTTACCATATCAAAGAGAAGCTTCCATTTCTTAAAATAAAATAAATAAAGTTGTGATTAGAATTTTAATATTGAATTAGTTTAAATTTAAATAAATATACTTACATCTCTGAGCAACTCCCTTCGCAGTTCAGCCTCATCAAAGTCGGAGTTCAGGGAGGTGTGCTCCGTCTCATAGCCGGCGTCGTTGGTACATTGCTGTAGGGTTTTGTATTTAATATTTATATTCTTTAAAAATTGGAGTAAGGGACACATACGTATCGCATCTGGGTGTGCGAAATGGAGCCAATGGACGCCAAGGAGCCGGCTATGGTGGATATGTGCTCGATGTCCGCCAGCGTTTCCTGTTGACTACTACCGCCGGCGTTTTGCTGACTGGTCGGCAGTTCCAAGGCCCGTGAGCTTCCTCGCTCCGAGCCCGGCCACATACTGCTGGTCCCGGCTATCCAGGATTATATTTCGAGTTCTTATAAAAATAGTATTCTTTATGGTTCTTTATTGGCAGTGTTTGTAGCTTTAAGATATCTAAAAATAATAATTGACAATAAAATAATATAATTTTAATATTTTATTTTTATTTATATTTCCTTTGAAACATTCATTCATTCAAGTTGGAATATTAAATATTAGGGAATCCCCTTGGGAGCCACTGCAGAAAGCTTTTAAAAGCTTTTACCCCAAAAGCTCTTTTCATTGAAATGTAACTGAGACGCTATCGCATCTGCCACCGGTTTGGCCGAACGCGCTAAGTTCCCCTGCGTACTTTTGTTCCCAAACAAAATCGGATAGTAGCGGGTTCGATCCCTGCTCGAAGTCAAAGTATATATATTGTATAATTATTAGAATATTTGGCCCGTGAAATGATTTGTTACAATTTGTCGCCTTTGGAATTGTTGCACGAGTTCGCGGGCCCAGAGAGATACTACCGGTTAATCATAGGCTAAAGCCGGTAATCAATACCTTAGTCTATTTCATGCCCGGCAAACAGATTCTATTTTTGTTTGCTGCCCTTTGTTTTGCTCGCCCTTCTACACATAATGCCAAGGCAACCCCCTTTCTTCTATTCTCCTTTATTGATAAGGAGAGGTTATTGATCCGGCGGGATGGCTGGCAAGTTTCCTTGTTGATGTTATTCCGGGTTATGTTTTCTTTCAGAACTGCGCAGAATCGGGGCGCCGAACTATTGTTTTGTGTTTTTCATTGCCGGAACTGGGTATTTGTTTTGATGTTCCTGATTAAAAGAAGGCAATAAATGCCAAATTGATTGAATTGGATTGAATGGTTCGGCTGTCGAATGGAATTCGCTTTCTTTCTATGATTTGGCAAAGAAATTATTGCTTGATTGCTTTCAGGGGGTTGCACTTCATTGTTATTTTCCAAACTTAATGGCTTTTGGAACTCAATTCATGTAGATTCCCGTGTTTTACCGTTTTGTTTTCACCCACAATGACCAAAAAAAGAAATTGCACTTTTCGTCCTGGCAACAACAAACATCGAACTTTCCACCGGGCGGCAAACCGACAACTGACGGAGGAGAAAGCTTTCAACTGCCACAATGCGAGAGGAGAGAGCGGATGAGTGGGTGGTCGCCGCCGCCGCACTGGCAAGGGTTGAAAAGTCTCCTTTATTATTGTTCCACGGGGATGCAGGACATGCGGGACCGAGTTCCCACGGCACATGCGCCTCGGCCGGAAGCATTTCCAACCCGTTGGCATTTCTGCTCCTGCAGGCACTCCCCCTTCTACCACTCCAACTCCCTTTGTGGCAAAGTGACGCAACCTCCCGGACTTCGACTGCCGCAATTTCAGTAACCAACACGCTTACAGTGATGCAGCTTTATTGAAATGTACACATACCACATACATATGAAAGAAAGACGAGGGAATAGCTCTCCGAGCCACACTCTGCTACAAAGGTTTGAATCCAAGAAGTACATGAACCATATTTAAAATTAATATTTTAATTAATTATTAAAAACAAATCAAAGAATACAATGGGTTTCATATTAATAATCTACACAACTCTCTTTCGTAAAAATCCTTTCAAAATAAAACCAGAAATTATAGTTACATTTCATCAATCTACTTGGAACGATATGTATATATGAAACTTTCCGATCATTTAAAGAAATTCCAATTTTTATTTAAGAATAGTTTTAGAGGGGACTTGTGGGGAGAGTATTCCCAAATAAGGATAATGTGGATCGGTTGATAACGAAACTGTAAGACACAGGTGTGATGTCGCTTACGAATCAAATTGTATATGTTTACACAATATAAGGAAACTAATGATAACATACAATGTCATAAATATAATTAATGCCAAGCGGAGAACTCTAATAACTGATACACGCAATTATTTACAGATTCTTACGTTCTAGTCTAGGGGTCTAGTTTATATAGCTAGATTATATAGATTGAATCTCCACGAACTCGGATCGATTGCGGATGATGCGGATGGGGCTGGAGTCAATTGAAGATAGAACAGGAGTCGGGTTTTTAAAAAATGAACACAAATCTAGGAACAGATCAATACACATTCTTCTACGCAGCTAAAGAAAGAACACTCGACCCGGGAATTGAATTCTTAAGTTTTCTTTAATCTGCAGCTCTATTGCTAGCCCTACTCCTTCCTCCTGTCTTTTGGTTTATCCTCCTATCCCGGTTTTAACAATATTTACACTTCCGACTGCCTAATAGATCGCCTGCTTACAACATGTGATGCATCATATACATATACATATACAATCATACATATATATAATCTAGATTCTAGAAATAATGTTTATTATTGAATATATCCTGTTCGCTTCTCTTAGGGAGCTTCTTTCTAAATCTCTCTTGAGCATATAGCTTAAGTTCCATCTGTCGGTGTCTCTCGAGGAAAACGAAAGAAAAGGAGTAGTTGAGATTGAAGAATCTCCTGAACAACATAACACTTGCACTTTGCCTTGAAACGGGAAACAATGGAAGCTAAAAAAACATATCAACAAATCAGGCTATCGTGCATCCCGCCCTTTGCAGCCTTAGCCCTCGATCATCCGCTCTGACCCAGAGTCGCACTGCTCAATCACAAGGCGGGCGATGCGCTTGATCTCGCAGTAGGGGCTCTCGTGGTCGATCAGCTCGTTCAGGATCTGGATGCCGTTCTCCTGTTCCACCAGCTGGCAATATTTCTCAGGGTACACCTTAGTGGCATGCAATGAAATACATAGATTAGCAACCTTAGATGGCTTAAGTTCGGCATTCACTCACCTGTGTTAGATTCGCTAGGGCCCACACAGCCCAGTGCTGGCATTCTGGAGTCTCGTAGCAGCGCACCAAGCTGAGGATTGGCTCAAAGCTGCGGTAGTTGATGTTCCGCTCGCTCTTGAGGTTCCAGCGCTGGATGGCGGCCACCATTCGATCCAGCACGTGCTCCCGGGTGGGCGTTTTGATGGTCCAGGCGTCGGCTCCATCGGAGGCGATGTGTGCCAAGACCCCAGCTGCATTGTAGCTGACCTGGAAGCGCAGGTTAGCATAGTTAGGATGTATCTCCCTATTGCGCACCACCGAAAACAAGCTCGCACTAGCACCCACCTCGATGCCGTCGCTCAATGAGTCCAGCAGTCGGGCGAATACCTCTATGAACTCTTGGGTCATCAGCTTGGGTCGCAGCCACTTCACTTCGGCCACGTTGCCGAGCAGGCCCATCATATTCCTAAGCAGCTCCTCTCGGTCTGGGAAGGTCTGTCAAAAAGAACCAGAAATTGGATTAATATGTTTAGGTGAGCTTGGTATTCCCTTAGCTTCGCTCCGAATGATATTCCGTTTAAGAAGACAATGCTTTAGCTTGACCCTCGCCTTTCACTTGCACTCACATGTAAACACTTGAGGAAATACTCCATGCCGCGTCCATCGAGGAATCTCTTACAATTAATAGCAGTCTCATCGGTTACGTTCCACATGGTGGACCACGCCACTTCCATAACATCATCGAACACGGATCGAGTCAAGCGGTCCTTGATAAGGGTTAGCATTGTCTATAAAACAGAACAAAATTAAATTAAAAGGCTTTCACCTAAGTCTCAGAGGCATAACTTACACTCACTACCCCCAGCTCTCCCAGGAAGAGCTTCTGCCGCCCGTCCACCTGGCACGCGAGGGTGTTCAGCAGGTAGATGGCAATGCGCTGAACAAACCCCTCCTGCTCCGTTTTAGAAACGCCGTGCAGCAGGATCTTAATAAGACGCTCGTACTCGAAGAGCTGTAGAAAGTACTGCATAATTCATTGTTGTTGGATTTTGAGATGTACTACGTATTTACCACATCAATGGGCATATGAAACTGAGTCAGCGTGAGGTAACCATTCCGGAGCATGGTGTCGTCCGAGAGGTGCATTTCCATGCCGTTGAGCAGGGTCCGAATGATGTGGTTGCGGAGTAGGGTTCCGAATTTGGACCGATCCCTGCCCTTGACTATGTAGAACAGAGTGGCGCTACAAAAAACCGAGATCCAATTGGACTTTACTGATTCGGAGCACACAGATGACCACAAACCTGCCGGAGATCTGCATGTGCTTAAACTTTAGGTGCCGATCCATCGCAGAGAGCACAACATCCAGGGCCGTGTGTATATCCTTGCAGTTTTCAAAGCGGAACAGATGGTACAGATCGTTGAGTACCTGGAACGGAGGAAGATGTGAGAAACCATCCAGGAAGACACCGCTTTTCGGGCTTACCCTGGTCAAAAGCACTGGTCTGTCATGATAATACCGCGCTGCTGTAAGTATCTGCTGTTCGTTGGCATCGCCGGCCACCTCCAGAGCCGGGATGTCATGCCTCTTGCAGGCCCAGTGGGCGGTGTGATAAAGGCCGAGGAACTGCAGGGGCCTTTGGGTGCGGGATGCTAGTCCCGGTATATCGGTGAGGGCGAACTGCTGCTCCATCTTGGTGCTGAGCTGTGTGCTGCTGGCACTCGTAGACTCCTTGGTGGCCACGCCGTTGCCAGCTAAATTCGTGCCGGATATATCCAGGTGTGTCAGGTGGCGCAGGTTGTCCATGAGCATCTCCAAGGTTTGGTCCGGCAGGTCGTAGGTGCCCTGGCCGTTGCCCGAGCTGGATATGGAGATGTCCAGTGTGCAGAGACGCCTCAGACAGCAGATAGCATGCAGCTGGTTGGCTATGGGCCACACATTAAACAGGATGAGGGTGTGCAGGTTCGGCAGGGACACCAGTGCTTCTAGACTAAAGTTGGCTAGCACGCAGGAGGTCAAGTCCAGGTGACCCAGGTCGTGCAGATGGGCAAACTGAAGTCGATGGTGCATAACCACGCCGTTCAGCACCAGCCGCCGCAGGTGGGGACAGGTGAGCTGAAAGTCCACCGGCTCCTTCTCATTGGGCTCCGCATACTGGAGCAGATGCGAGCTGATTCCTAGCTCCAAGGAGCGCAGACTGTCGCCGTAGTGGGCTAGTAAATGGTGCGATCCCACGGTGATCATGTCGCAGTACCACATGGACAGAGAGAAAAGCTTGTGCCGCATCAGGGTCTCCAAACCTGCCAGGAGACAACTGAATTATTGATTCTCTCAAATCCAGAGGGGCTTACTTACCCACGCTGCTGAGGGTACTGTTTCGCAGATTGACAATCTTCAGTGAGGTGCGCTGAGTGTCCTCGAAGAGGCGGATGACGCTGTCGTCGAGCGGCCGATTGAAACGCTGGTAGTTCTCCAGGAAACCGTCACAAATCTCGTTGGGCAGGACAATGCCCGCGTTGAGGATGCGCTGGCCATCTGGTCTGTGGTTGCTTATGATGTCCAGGTTGTTGCACAGCTTCTGGTAGGCGATTTCCTTGAGGGTCAGCGGCTCCTCATCCAGCGACCCGTCCTCCATAAGCCGCACCTTGCAGCTCATCCTGGGACCGCAGATTTTAGGTGATATTTTTAAGATTTTTCTCTATTGTCTACAATGAAAATGTAAACGATGGAATGATTTGTAATATATCGTAGGAATTTTTTTATCGGAATTTTTAAAGAATGTAATTTCATCGCCGTCCGAAACAATAATACAAAGGATTACCAATAGCTACGTATGTGAGGTTCTGCTACTTTTTATTGGAACTCATTATTTTATAATAATTTGAATCATTTAACCTTCTAGTGTGGGTCTCAAGAAGAGAACGATTATCATTAAACCCTATTTCGTGTCAACAATGACGTCATGGAGTTTTATTGTTTAAATATCGAGGAATTTAATAAAATTGTGAAAACTGGTTTCGTTTGCAGATAGAAACTGATTTTTATGGAAACTATAATAAATAAACAATAAGAAAATCAATTAAGTTATTGATTACGAAGCGACACATCCATGATTTTGTTTGTTTATTGTTATTATCGAAGCGATTATCTTGGAGATTTGTGGTGTTTGATTTAGAACTAGATTAGAGGTAGAAGAAACCATAGAGCATTGTGCTGAGCGCTCTAGTTTACATTTTGAGAGTGCAAGTCATTTGGAATGAAAAGTAGCTTGACCTTTCAGTCCAATCAGCTCAGTGCTTTCCGAATTAGAATTCCACAAGTACATAGATGACTGGCCAATCTTGGCCAGCCTTTCCACCTACGACACGTGCCCCTTAATCTATACGTGCATGGTTTTTGGTTCTTGCCGTCTGGGGGACTATCAGACGTTACATAATGCACCAGAACCAGACACCAGCTGAGATAAGGATAAATCGGAGACTTTCGACATCTCCCTCAAACAATAACCAAAACAAACTCGGCCCGAGTGGAAGGCGAGTGGTGTGTATATTATCGAAATTCAAGCTCAATGGAGTCCCCTATCAACTGCCAGCAAACACGTCGTGCTTGTGTGGGTGAGTAGTTATTGAAAACGCAAAAAGCACCCAACATTCAAAAACTAAAACACTATTCCAGCGTCAGACTGTCTGGCTTATCAAGGCTTTAATGGAGCATTCTAACGGATCCAATCGGGGCCATGTCATAGTGCTGCCCTGTCCCAGTGTAGGCTGCCAACAGCTGTGCGTATGCAAATCCCGAGATCTCCTCCACGCTTTCTGTACCTTTTGTTTTTTAATGCAGCCTCCAAAATCCCTGCGCTGCTTTTGCCTTTGCGTTTGTCTTTGCTGCTGCTACCGTGTCTTTGCGTTTTGCTTCGGGCCTACTGCTCTGTCTTTGTGTGTTTTTCGCCTCCGAGCATCCGCGTTTTTTGGCTGTGCAGCGTTGTCCCGTTACTCGCGGCACGCGTGTCGCGTCAACGAAAACAATTTGTTGCGATTTTCGTAAGCGGATCACTCCTCATTATTAATTTTTTGATTTCTATTTTCTTTGTACGAGTCTGTTTCCTCTTCTTCGTCTTCGATGAATGGCAATCGATAAAAGGCATCCAGTGTTGATAAAATTTCGAAGGAACCAATGCTGAAAAACGCAAAGTACGCGGAAAGTTTGAATCCCCGAAGAATACTGATACCAGAAATAAACTCATTGTTTTAATGGGGAACTAGTTTTTATTTTTATGTTAAGCGCTGAAATCAATCGTTATTCAATATACAGTTTGTTAGTCTGCCGTGGTGTGATTACTTTGTTTGGCTTACAGTTTGTTTTGTGTTGCAAGGGTAAGCATTGAAGTATAAACCGATAAACGCCCCCTTTCTCTGGATAAATCTCTAAAAACTAAATCACTGCATTGCAGGTTCATCTCATCGTAAACGCAATCGTATTAATAATCTGGCTGCCGGGTCGCTCAACAAGTCGAACGCTTTCGTACTGGCGACTGGCGTAATAAATAAACCTTCTTAGTTTGATCATCTCTTTAGGTGCTACGTACAAAATGACGAAACAATAGTCGGTATTGCTGTGCGGGATTGTTGGTGTGTGTGTGGGGGGAGGGAGCGCACTAAATGCTAATCCTAACCGGATAGGTCGCCCTGATCAAAGATTCCCTGGTCATACAGCTCAGCCACCACTCTCCGGCCGCCGAAAAATCTACCATGCAGGGCTTCCTTTCCTCGCTGGGCTTCTGCTCCGGCGGAAAACTCCACGAATATCTTCACAATGATTTCGGCCTCGTCGTCGTCCTCGTTCTCCGTCTGTTTCTCGTTAAAGATGATCACGCGACTGACAGTTCCGAACTTGCTGCACTCCTCCTGGATCTCCTCTTGCAGGGTTTCGTCCACATCCTCGGGGCCCACCATATTTCGCAGAATGATTACTCGAGAATCCACTGGTCGCATTAGCCGCTGCATGACCAGCTGCCGGGCACTCTGACCCTTGATCGACATGTTTTCCTGTTGCTGCAGAGTCTGGACATCACCCTCGTCCATCAGTTTCTTCTGGAGCTCCTCCTGCTGTTTCTCATGTGCCTTCTTTATGTTCTCTGACAGGTTTGCGGCAGTAACTGCGGCATTGTTGGCGGCTGCTGAAAGAACTGCTGCAGCTGCTCCATTACTGGCTTCCACGCCCGCTAAGGTGGCTACCGTTGGAACCACACCTACTCCCAAGGCCCCAGCCACGCCAACTGCGGTCATTGGGACCGTGGGGGTGGCCAGTAGGGCGGGCGGAGGCAGAGCCGGAGCGACAGGTTGAAGAGGTTGCAGTCCAGCTGGGACGCCCAACAGACTAGGAGCCACAGCAGAGGGAGCTTGGAAGATGCCCGGCGGAAGAAGAGCCGCTGGCGCGGCCTGTGCTGCAAGGGCGGGGTGCAAGGCGGCCGCGGTGGTTGCCGCAGAAACTACTGGCATGGCCCCCACCTTCGCCACCACAGCACCCGCTGCCATTCCCAAAGCGGGCGTGTTCTGCGAAAGTCCCAACACAGCATTACTGGCCACCGCATCCAAGGCCTGGATTTTAGCAGTAGCCGCTGCCGCAGCCACAGCTGCCGCCGTAGGCATTGTGGAGTTGGTTGTGGGAACAGCTAGAGCATTCGGTGGTGTGATGGAACGACCAACTCTGCAAATATGAATTAAAAATAAGAACTATGGAAGCCAGGAAAAGGATGAACAAACGCACCTTAATAGCTGGCCGCCAAGATCAAATAGGTTCATACTGGCAATGGCCTCGTCCATGGCCTGCTTGTTGGCGTACTCGATGAAGCCATATCCCTTGTGCGTGTGCAACGAGGTGCCCTGGGCAAGCTTGCAGTACAGAATGGGACCGAACGCCTCGAAGACGCTCTTAATGTCCTCCTCGGAGAGATCCGGATGAATGGAGGCCACGTAGATGCGGTTGAAGCTCTTGGCCTCCTCCTGCACCTCGTCGATAACCTGCTGTGCCTGCGGCATATTACTGGGTCTGCCCACCTTGATGTTCCGGCCGCCCATTAGGGCGCCATTCATCTGCTCCAGTGCCAACTGGGCGCCCTCGGGAATCTCGTACTCTACGAAGGCGAATCCCTTGTGCTTCTGGGTGATGGGATCCCACGACATGTTGATAGACTTGATGGGGCCAAATGGAGTGAAAGCCACTCGAATGGTGTCCTCCTTGAGTTCAAACGAAATACTTCCCACATAGACCCTGAAATTAACGTGAACTCGGGTTTATTTTCGAATAAAGTAAGTGGATTTCTGGCCGGGATTGGTGGTGGGAATCAGATCTTATCAGCTAAGAGGGCACAGCAACAGGAACCCCTCGTCTGCCTCTAGTAACTCGGAGCCACAGACGCGGGAACCAGTCTTCACCAAGGTTTTTCATGGTTTTGCATCATAATCCCAAAGTAGCAAGTAATCCCTCCCTCCCTGTCCGAACTCACCTGCACATGAGAGCCAGAGCCTGCTGTCGCTGCACCTGGGTGCGCTGCGTGGCCAGTTGCTGCTGCTGGTGGGCCAGGGTCTGCTTCATGAGCACCATCTTGATGCTCTGCTCCATGGCGTACTTTTTGGCCTTGCTGACGAGGTCGTGCTGGTCGGAGGAGAGCTTCGGCAGGGCTCCGCCCAGGAGGCCCAGGAGCGCCGACCGGGTGCCGGGCCCGAACTTAACATCGCCCGTCTGCTTGAGGTCATACAGAGGCTGCGAAAGGTAGGGAATTTTCGAATCCGTGGACTTGCCTAGAATTGGGAAGAGGGATTAGTGCATCTCGTGGACGGATTAGCTCTGATCGCGTAGATCAGTGGTTCATCAGTGATCATCAGCTTTAAACATTTCTTTTGATTGATTTCGTTTTCTTTTTTTCATTTGGTTATCGATTCATTCGGTTTTTTTTCTGTTCCAAAGGTACAGGGGACACAAATTGAGTCCGAAATAGGAGTAGGAATGTGGTCAAGAGTTAGCGTTTGAAATATCTTAAATAAAGACAAAAACTGCCTGCGCCTGCAAGAAAGATTGAGACAAAAAAAGAAAAAAAATAAGAAAACAAATCGTTAATCAATATTCGAGGCCACCATTACTGCTCGGGTGGGTGGCTGTAGCCAGTGTTCTTATCGGGACTCATTCGATATTGATATTTAGAGACTTTACGAGTTCGGTAGTCAAGCTGCCAGTTTATCTGTTTGTTATGATGGGAGTCGAGTATCGATTTGGCAGAGGGGCATGAGTTTTTGTCATTTATTTGTAATGGTTGCTAGAAATGCAAGAGTAATAAGAGGGGAAAGAACCCGTCTGGTGTTTGGTGGCTGGTTGGCTTAGATACGTAGTGTTTGTGATTCGGGTGTCTGGGTGTTTTGGATTCATACATAAGCAGGAGGTAATGTGTCGAGTGATGTGGGCGTGTCAAATCAAAATTCATCCACCGACACCCATCCACTTGATGATTCGGCGAACTGGGCACACGGCAGGATGTCCCGGAAATCTCCTCCAGTATTTCGCAGGGAGCTGGATCATCCCTCGACCAATCTGCCCGTGTGCTCAGCTCTGACGAGTAGTATTATTTTTGTTTTTTATTAAAATTAGAAATTATAAGCGACCTTATGTGCGGTATTCGTATTCGTTTTCGATATCGGTTCGATTTCCATGAGTTGGGGGCGTGGTAACTGACTTGAAGAAGGGTCACACACATTATACATTGCTCAGTGATAAAAAGAGAAAAATAAAAAAAAGAAAACAAGACGCTGAAACGATAATAAGAGCAACAATATGTTTAAGTTGGTTAGGTTTGCCTCCGCCCTACCTACAAGATAGAAACAGTAATATTGTTTTTCTAAGCTTACATAATGAGTTTTAGCCAGGATGAGCTGGACCCGGTCGGGGGTCGGAATGTGACTAGTTATTAGAACGGAAAGAGATCGTGCAGATCGAGGGAAGTTTAGGCTGCGGGGGGATCTGGCTCCCCCCGGCTGTGTACAGATACTAGTAGGACGGACAGGTTAACTAGACTGAGTAACTAGCTATGACAAAACACAAAAAATAGTTGGTACTTAATGTAAATGCAACCAGGACAGGACCAGAATCAGGATCAGGAACCGGATCAGTCCCCGGATCGGCGGTTGGCACACGACGACGGCGAGGTTGTTAGAAGCGGATTAATGTCGATGTTCTGGTTGGGCTGTTTTGTGGCTGATTGGTAGTAGTAGTAGTAGATTGGTAGTAGTAGTAGATTGGTAGTAGAGTAGTAGTGGAGTAATCTAATGGGCATCTCTCTCTCGATCTCGAATAGATCTCAATCTTGACTCTCGATAAAACTTAGTCTTAGGCGAACAAACTTAAAAGGAGAAAAACGCTTACGATAACTAAAAAAGAGAGATATAGAAGAAAGAGAAAGAGAGAGATAATAGTTATATATGCATTTTTGATTAGTTCTGGCGATTCGTCGGCGTCTCAGGCCCAGGACTCACTGAATCCCTAGAGTTTGATTGAACATTTTGATTTCAAGTTCTCTTATTCTTTTTAGCATATATGTTATAGGTTTATCGGCTTATCGTTTATTTTGACTCGTTTATCGACTGGGATCGCGCCCTTATCGATTCTGGCGATAGACTGATACTCGATTCGATTCGTTTCGATTTGTTTGACTCTCACCTCACCTCACACCTCACAGTCTGAGTTTTGAGTTCATCGTGCGTTTATGAAGTCTGCAATTACTTAAGCAGAACAAAAAGAAAAACCGATTATTTAGTGGCGTCAGTGCTGCCCCTGGATGCAACGGGTATCAAATAATCAAGTAATCAAGTAGAAGTAGTACAAGTAGGAGAAAAAATATAAGATGTGCTTATGATTTATGTTTTTTATGTTCAGACAACCAAAAAATACAATACAATTTAGCCGGGCTCCTTGCTGCTTGCTCTGCTGATCGTGGACTTTGTTGATTGTTGAATATATTATTATAAACCTACATGGATATGTGCCAAGTTGATTCTCAGACGTACACATTCATTCATTGTTCTTGTTTCTTTGGTGTCGAGGTGAGCTTTGTTCAAGGAGCTCCCCCGCCATATATGGTTTGTGTCTGAAGGTCGGAACGGATTTGAAACTCACCCGAGTCGGAGCGTGATCTCTTGGTCGGAACTTCGCTTATCTCCCGCTGATCGTCTGAACGCGGCGATCTCGATGCTCTGTCGTTGCTTCCCTAAAAAGACACAATTGATAAAGACTGGATTAAGATTTAAGTAACTTTCCTCCTTAGCAACCCCTTGGGGGGTTTCACAAGATAATGTAATTGGAAAAGATTAATTAATGCCCAAATACGCAAATCGGCAAACAATACCGACAAGCAAGGCCAGTTGAGCCTTTGTTGTTTTCGAAATCGGACCATAAGGCACGTATTTTCCACATCCCAACAAAGTCGGCGGCAAAAACGCATGGATAGATACACACGCCACACCGAGACTTTGCTAGGGGCCGCTGCAATGACGTCCGCGGCTCCCAGTTCAATCCCAAACGGTGACAAGGTCATAGGGTGCTGCCAGCACCTCCCCCGCTGCTCCCATCACACTTAATTCACACGCACTTTCCCCTCCATCAGCGTATTACAACGCAAATGGCAATCGGCTCGCAGAAAAAGCGCAAATTTCTCCGAGGTACTCCGGTGCACGCGACGTTAAAAACTGGTTGGATTTCCCTGCCCAAATCCTAAATGCAAGTCCGTCCGCTTGTACTGACCATGCTCGGCGTTTTCCAGATATTTCCGTTGCTAATTACTATTTGCGATGCTCTTTATTTGTCAACTTTTATTTCTTTTGCGAAAATTTGTCAAGATTGTTCGGTGCTGCCAGACTTCTATGCGAGCCAAGCTATGCAGCTAACTATCGATAACTATCTTTAAAAAATTACCAAAAAATATACTAAATAAATACTAAATACTGTATAGAGGCAATTCAGAATAACTGTATCAAATCTGGTCACACTGTCTAAAATTTTGTACCAAAAAGTGACCATTTCACAATAGTTATTGTGCCTTTCTTAAAAGTTAAATTATTAAAAAGAAAATTTTACCAGTAATGTGTGCTAAAAATGTAAACTCTAACGATATACATAAAAAGCATGGCGCTTCGAACGAAGAAACCATAGGGAAAGACTATAAGTGACTTTGAGAAAAGCCGATGCTTAGAATCTTATTGCTTATTCTGCTTAGAAAAGCAGAATATAGATGACTGATCTTCCGTCATCTGATAAAATGTAAGTAACCAATCAATATTGTTTTAAAATTGCATAAAGTTTCTTTTTATTGACCCTTTTCTTAAGGACTACGACTAAAATTAAACTATGCATTAATATTTACAACTCTCGATCGTTCCATGAGAGTTTCCCTTTTTTGCTTTTTGGGTCTTTTTACATTCTTTTCTTATGCAAGTAGTGCGTATGTGGGAGGACAAGGGGATCGGGCAAGTTATGGCAATAAGGGGGGTCTGATGATCTTTGTTTTTATGTAGATTGACCTACATAGTTCTGTTGCGATTTGGGAAGAAGGGAGAGGGATCATGAAAGTGACTCATTTGCTAAGGTTATCTTTAACAGCTTAGGCATTATAAATCACAAAGGCCCTTGGTATCCGTACCCGTGCGTATTCCGGTTTAAGTTTAAAGCTAATGTCAGTCTGGCGACTTGCTTTTCATCTTCACATTGGGAATTCAAAATAAAAGTCTAATCAAATAAAAACGATGTGAAAGAGCTGTGTAAAAAATTAGAAAGAGCTTTGAGCTAAAATTCCTAACCCTGGGATGAAATAATCCTACTAATAAATTAACGAGACCGAAGCAGGCTCCCAGGATCGCTAAGTACACAGATGTTGCTTCGGTTTAAGTAAATGGTTTTGGCGAGTGTTAAGTGTCCCAGGCTTCTCAGTGTAAGTGGTTGGTTGCAGGTGCAGGTGTTGCGCAGTTGCACGTTGCTGGTTGCTTGTGGCTTGTTGCTAAATAGTGTTCTAGGTTCAATGTGGTTCTGGTTGCCTGGGCGGCACCTTGGCGGCTAACGGGGTCGAGGGCCGGGCGGGCAGCAGCTTTTCAAGCTCGAATACCAATCCGCACTCGACGACGACGACTATCACAAGGTTCAGTTTTCTTTTTTGTTTTTCGGGGCAGCTGATCTTCCACTCCCGCGCCCTAGTAGAGGTCATCCTCCATGTTGTGGATGAGTATCTTCTTGTCCTCCTTGCAGCTGGACTTGGCCAGTGTCTGCTCCACCAGCTTGGGATCGAAACAGGGCTGTAACAGAACAAAAGTTGCTTTAATTTTGGCCCTAAGTGTTGTGGCATCTGCCGATCCTTACCGTTTCACAGATGTTCATGTTGCAACAGTTCTCTATCGTTATCTCGCACTGCTCGGCGGCCATGGGTCGGTTGGTGAGAGGGGTGTCTCCTGCGGAGTTGGTCCTCGGCTGCTTGCGCACTACGAACGTCTTCCTGATGCGGGGTCTCTTTGGCTTATAAAGGCGCCGGATTCCGTGGATAATAGTTGAGATCAGCAGCAGACTTGACACGATGCCGACGACCACGATGATGATGACACTGCTGGTCCACACGGAGGGCGTCAGGCACACTTCCAGGTGCTGGTACTGGGGAATGGCAATGTTGGTGGTGTTGTCCAGGGCCAGTTCCTCGCAGCTAAGAATTGAGAGCCTTAGTCGGGTCTGCCCAAAAGTATGCTTTGGTATACTTACATGTCATGGCAGCCGAAGGGCACATGGAGATCCGGTTCGTGCTTCAGAAGGCGGCAGAAGAGGGAGCAGATCTGAGTGGAGTTCTGCTCGCAACGATCTCCGGCAAAGTTTGGGGGGCAGTCGCAGCTGGGTGGGTCGTTCTCCGACTGGCCCAGGCGACAGTGACCTCCGTTTAGGCACAAGCCCGCGCACTGGCTCACCTCGCAGCGCTCGCCCGTGAAGCCCGGCTGGCAGTAGCACTTGGGGTAAGCCATCTCGGACATCTGGCAGGTACCGTGAACACAGTAGTGGTGGCACTCCCGAATCTCGCAGCGGGAGCCCTTGAACCCTGCTGGGCAGATGCAGAGATCCCTCTGGGAAACGTAGCTTCCACCGTTCATGCAGTGGTCCCGCTCCAGCTGCTCCATCCGCTCGTCCATCAAGCTTCGCGATTCCTTGTTCTGGTTCATCTCGTCCACGCGAAGCTTTATCTTGCGCACAATACTCGAGCAATGGGCGTCCTTCTGGAGGCGCTGGTAGAAACCGGTGCGGGCCACGATTCCTCGCGCTTCCTCGCTGAGATTGGCCACGCGCACCAATGGGCAGTCCTCGACGGGCTCGCTCTCCTGCCTGGACTCAGTGGCGTCCGTAGAACTTTCCAGCTCGGGCCTGACAGTGGTGGTGGCTTTGACCGCAGCCTTCTTCGGGTGACTCCACACCGCATTGGTGGTCCTATCCGTCCAGAAAATGGCGTCGTTGGTCACGGCCAGGTTCTGGGGCTCGTGGTGCTTGTCCTTCAGCACCACCTGGCGGTCGGAGCCGTCCAGGTTCGAGCTCATCACCGCAAAGAACACCCCCTTCAGGTCGTCGATCCAGAAGAGGCGATCCGACAGCTGGTCCACCACGATTCCCTTCGGCATGTCGATGTCAGTGTCCGCGATGATCACCCTGTTGCTGCCATCCACATCGATTCGCTCGACAGTGGGGTGTGTTATGTTGGAGTTGGTCCAGTACAGCTTCCGGCGGCAAACATCCACCGCCACTCCCTCGGGACGTGCTCCCTCCTGGCTCAGGTCCACCAAAACCTTAGGGGGCTGGCTGGGCGGGCTGTCAATGGAGGCGAAGAAGATCTTTCGCTGCAGGGTGTCCGACCAGAAGAGGTTCCTGTTCAGGGGATCGTAGGCCAGTCCCCCCACCGACTCATTGCCCGTCCGCTGGATGGCTTGCTGGGCCACATGGGAAGCGGCATAGGCGTCCCGCCGCAGGGAGAAGATGCTGCCGTTCTGGTGCTGGCGGTCGTTGAAGTAAATCAACTCCTCGGACTCGTCGAACGTCAGGGCGGACAGTTCGTCGAACTCGTGGGCAGCGGTGGCTATTGTCTGCCAGGAGCTGTCCATGAACTGGATCTTGGTCCTCAGCGTGACGGCAAAGTCTGCAAAAGAAGGGCAATGCAGAGATTAGGCTTCAACTCTAGATTTTAAGACCAAAAAGCAGGGGAATTATAAAATAATAGTTTTTCAATCAATTATTCTTTATGGCAGCTACGTGACAAGGCTATCTATCGGGTTCTTTACTCTTTATCTTTTAACTAATGGTATTCCGATCATTTAAATAGCAAGGAAGACCTCCAAGAGTCGTATATTTTGGTATTAGGAACCCTTCCCATCCCAGTCTCTCCTCGGGGAGTGGCAAACGTGACCTGCGAACCACTTGTCCATATCAGTGAGTGGAAGAGTCTCCTAAGACCCCTTAGCTTTAGTTGCGGAAATTAAGTTCAATCAATGCGAAACACCCCCTGCCCCCCGCTGGTTGTCATTAAACTTGCCAAAAGTGGTGCTGGTTCCCAATCAAGCGCTGCCGTTTGTGGAAATTGCGACTCGCACTGGGTTTTGCAACAACATTCGCCAATAAATGGCCGGCGATCTGCGTTTCATTTTTATTAATTGATTATTTAATGTGGCGCCGCCAGCCCGGGACAACCTAGTAGTCCTAAATCATCAAAAACCTAATGTGCCTGGGGTCTAGACTGATAAGGGGCTGTAAGTCGCTGGACGGCGTCAGAAATCCGGAGATGTCAACCTGCCGGAGGGATTTCCCAGGTGATACCCCAGGTGACAGGTCGCTTGACCTTGGAAAAGTGATCTCATAAGGTGGAGGAATGTTTGCGTATCTGTTGTTTATTTTATTTCATTGATAATGGTACCAAAAAGGGTATAGTTTGCAATTTAAAGCCTTAATCATTGATAGAAAGAATAAATATTAAATCAATACATTTTATTAAGAATTTCTATTAATTTTAATCCAGAAATATCTGAAACTTTAGTGACTTTAGAAGTAAGAAATATATAAACAGAAATGCAGATCCTCTAATCAAAGGTAACCTTGAAACCTGAGACATGGGTATGATGGGTTCCATGCGTCAATGTTTACCTAGGAACTCCATATCGTAGGGTTTCAGTAACCAAGTGCGTTTAATCCTAAAAAATCTGAAACCCTAGGGGCTTTGGGGAAGAAAGAAAAAAGCTTATAAACATATATGAGCTTATCCCCTAATCAATAGCGACCTTCAAACTCGAATAGATTGAAATCCCAAGAGAATGGTGTGCAAAAGAATGAGCTTTGATAAGAAACGAATGGCGGAGATCTGGGTCCAAAATGGGGATTAGTCGCATTCTTAATATTATTTTTGTTTTGGAAACTAAAACGAGATTGAGGAACCTGTTCTCCCTGTGAGGGGGGCGTGGCTTTCGCTAAATTAAACGCGGATGATTAAGTAGCTCGACACCTGTTGGGGCGCGTGAGTAAATAAAGCACACAGTCCTGACGGGTCTGGTCCTCACTCCCCTCACGGAACTGCGGAAAACTGCAGCTGGCGGAACCGAAAGCGGCTTGTTCCGGATCGGAGCCGTGTGGAGGCCTGACTTTCACATCAGGCCTGACTTCTGGTCTACAGCGCCGATCAATCAGATCGATTATCCAGCTGCCAAAACAATCGTTCTCGAACTGGTCATTGGCCTGGGGTTGGGTCCAAAACTGGTGTAGGTCACTGTTCAAGAAACATGGCCAAGACACGCGAAGAGCTGGTTAACCCCAACCTGCTCGAGTATCTAAAACCGATTGGGGGAATTCGGAACGGTATAGTTCGATTGGAGCTATGGGTTTATGATTCATGCATATGTATCTGAAGTGGTTGTAAAAAATAGCCGCAAAAACAATGCGAAACTAGCAGCATTTAACACTCGAACGAACCTTTCCACTGCCTCGGCGACCTCGGGGTTTGAGGTCAACGATTTCAACGATGCAGAAAACGCTAAATTGCCACTTTGAGGTATTGGCGAGTTCATTGGCGGGAGCTATGGGCCTCAGAAGGGCTGGTTGCTCAATTGAGGGAAGAATCATCGAACCTGCTCTCTGAATATCTTAGATACCGGAATGCCCCAGCAATAAACACCTGTGCAAGTACATATATTTAGGTTTAATACATATTTTAGATGTTATAGAGACCTGATATACTCTTTCCTATATGTGCAACTGATTTAAAGTCATCCAGATTCTTAATTGGCTGCTTGAGAGGCTTGATAAATCAATGGTCGATTGGCAGTTATTACGGACCGGCAGTGGAACTCGTGAAATTCGCGGTATCTCTGAAAGGTTCTTTCGATATGGATTTTCACATATGGGCCTGGAATGCGTCACGGCAGCCAAGTCCAAGTCGCGAACCATTTCCCACCCATTAGCATTATCTAACTATTAGAAACTATAGCCAGCCAGTGCCAGTGCCAGTGCTAATGTAATGCCAGGAAAACATTCTCTTGACGCACGTGGGTTTCCAGTTCATTCAACATGTTTTTCCAACCTATGGATGCAGTCGGATTAGCGGGTTATCTCGGGCTTCGAATTGCGACTCGGAGAATTTCTAACCCGAGAAGGGCTGGCCGGCAGTATCGCTTCGGTCTCCAGTATCGCTTCTGGCGAAGTGAAAGAGGAGCCCCGGCACGGCACTCAGCCATTGGAAATCGCAACAACAATCGCCGAATCTAAACAAACCGGCAACTGTGATGTGTGGCATACGTGACAAAATAAGTGAGCCACATGGCGGACAAAGTGGTGGCAATGTTTCGGGTACAGTGAACCAACAGTGTGTGGAACATGTGGCACAAATCTACCTGAAAGAGGCTCCTATTTAAATATTTGCTTCCAAGTTCTAATCAATGCTACTACACTGTGAAAAACAGATAAGATTATTTTGTTATTTTCAGGTTTTGAAAAGAGAATTTCAGTCTTGAATGAAACACAATACCTGTACCTAAACCTGGTCGATTAATTTCAGTGCTTTTGGCTTTAATTCATGTATTAGATGTTGAAATATCTGCGTGTTTACAAACGCATATCGAGTGGTTTTTCCAGTTTTGGAAAGTCAGAGTTATGGGAGTTTAACTGTATTTTACAGTTGTTGCCGGCCACGTTTCAGCTGGCGGAGGTCGGGAGCGAAAGAGTTCACCCCCAGGAAGCACCAACAAAAGAGAAAGCGAGAGAGCAGTTCACAAAAAACACCGAATAATTGTGAATTGAAACTTGCGATAGATTCTTCGGAGGGAGAATTCTGTTATTAGCTATTTGCGACGTGTGCATTGATAAGGGAGCGGGAGCGCGCCTTCGCTGCCGCTGATAAAGGAGATAAAAGCATATTCGCTCGGCTCGGGGCAACTCAGATAGTCAGCTGATAGCTGATAACTCAAGCCACCTGCCCGCACGCACCTACACTCGCACCGTCACCGTCCGCACGGAATATATCAAGTGAAATATGCTGAATGTCAAGCGATTACATAAGACCCCTGGCCTGCATTGTTTATGTCGAATTGATTCTTGATTGCTGGCAAGAAATGAAGGTTAGAAGAGGCGCCAGTGTTGTCACCTGGCACCTGGCTCTTGAACGGTTCTCTTCCTCCCGCTGGAAACGGTTTGCTTACCCCACTCCAGAGGCGTTCCATTGGAACGCGGCAGCAGGCAGGCGGAGAGGAAAATTAAGGCTGGCACCCAGATCATCGTCCTGGGTGTTATGGGCTATTGTGGGAAGCTATATGTGAGCACCCTCGATTGCACAACCGCTGGGATTTTGGTTAGGTCACGGGATGCGAACGCGTCTGCCACCTGCAGAGTCCTCGGCGCGGGTGGCGGATGGGAAGCAAAGGGATTAGAGGAAAGGAATCTGGAGGAGAACGCGTTTTTTCGCGAACTTTCGGCTGATAGTGGGATTTGAAAGACGCGCCAGCAGAGCGGAGTACCACCGGTTATCACGGGAAGAAGTAACGATTTAAATTGAGTTTTGGATCGGAGGTAGCACCAGCTCGCATGCCCCGGTCCAGAGTTGCCAGCTATCCTTGAGGAAATCAGCTGGCAGCCAAAGGTACCACCAGCTGGCAGCAAAAGGCTCACCCTAATAAACCATTTACACTGATATTCCTTAGAATTATTCTAAAAAAAACTCTTCTTAAAATAAATCAATGTATTTCTAATCGTTTTTTAATTTTGGAAAAAGTAAGCAGTGCATTCTTCATTTTTTAAGAGTTACATCGATAATTTAAAATTAAATCTCATTCAACCAGTCAAGTTGGCTTTGTGTAAAAAGCTAGGGACTTTTCGGCAACTAAATTATTAAAATAAAAAAAAGTTATTTTGGCTGATAAAAATTAAATTTTAATTTTAAATAATTTGATCTACCAAAAAAAAACGGTTTATCCAGCTATTGCAGTGTTGGTAAATATCCAATTATTTCGATAGACGATATACGCAATAGAGTTGCGTTGTTCGAGTTGTTTTTATTTTTATTTATTATTGTTTGCGTGAGGAGTCATGTACAAAAATGCACTGAAAGGCGGCATTCGCACCGCCAAGCAGGCCTGGAAGCTGAAAAACGGTGATTACACAATGGTTTTCATTTAGCATTTATAAATGCCACAGAGTGATAGCGGGAGAGGGGGCGGCAATCAGCTGTTGCTGACTGTGCCGATTAACGATTGTCGAAGCGTGTTATTCGCTCTTGCCGCCCGCCGCATATTGTGTTTTTTCTCAGCCGAATCAGGGGTTTTAACGCATCACAGTTGCTTGCTTTTGTTATTGCAGAGTTTGGCAAACTTAACTTGGACCTAGCCAAGGCCAACTCCGATTTTCAGGAGCATCTGTGCGAAGGTGAGAGAGGTTTTCGCCTGACCACCACCCCCGCTCTCCGCCTTGCAAAAAAATAATCAAATAACAACGCTTATCAGTTGCATTTAACGCTTTGATCTGCCCCAAAGTGCCTAACATCAGCTCGATTCTTGTCCCCCTTCCAGCTGCCAGACTTATCCACAACTTTTCTCCACCACCCGCCGCTGCCACCACCCACAGTCCCGTGTTGCTACTACTAAAAACAAACCCTAGCGATAACAGAAGACACTCGGGCGAAAATAGCCGGAGAAGCGTCGTTGCTAGCCATAATCGTCGGACTCCCAATAATTCCCGAAGACTCTTAACTCCCGATAAGACAGCTTTTAACGCCCGTTTCCGAGCAGAGACCGGCCACCTGAACGCCTTGATCTCCTCCAAGCAATTCGTGAAGGTGCAGAAACAGTTCTACCGGGACTTCTCCTCCGTGTCACTTGGAGCTCCTCTGAAGAACAGCGACGCTCCGTTGCTCGGGGACTTGTGCAGTCAGTACCGTGCCATCCTAGCCCACACATCGGCGGACGTTATACCAGGCGAGAATCAACATCCGCAGCATACGTGCCAGCAGCGCAGAGGAATCCACAGCCAGCAGCCACAAATCCTGAAAGAGGACTCACACCAGCGCAAGATGGCTCCGAAAGCAGAGTTCGAGAGACTGCCCACGAACGTGGTGCCACGCCACTACGAGTTGATCCTGCAGCCCGACCTGACGGCTTTCACCTTTACGGGCAAGACCATAGTACAAGTTCATGTGAGTATTTGAATCAGTATGTGAAGGGCAGTCCCTTTGGACTCCCGTATCAAGCCATCAATAAGGCCCAGTAGTTTCAAAATTCAAACTCTGTTGCTACCCTCCGTCTCTTTCCATTTCTCCCATCCGGCCACTTTCACTTTCCCATTATTGTTGTAACTTTAGTTTGCTGCGCACTGTGCGAACTTTTTCCTCTGACGTGTGCAAAAAAATATAAAAATAAAGACTCGGACATTCTCCTTGCTATTGCTGGCATTTCTCTTTATGCTGCAATTTGCATGCACGTAGATCCACAATCTGGCAAATGGATAATATGTATCTCTATATGCATACACCCACTGGAAAGCACAATGGCTTTGTCGCGCAGAAGGAATGACTGGCAATATGGTGGGGGTACCGCGCAAAATTTATTTGCACCAATCTCTTTTTTTGCTCCCGCCGCTCATAACGGTAGATTTTGTTTACGTTTTGTTTGCGTCAATAGCGGAAACTGTATTACTTGGCCAGGACGCACTTCAAACACCCTACATTCGGGGTTTTGGTCCTTCGAGACAAGTTGAACCATTAAAAATACATGGTTTATATAGGTTTATGGTTAAAAAATACTTTTATTTAAGATACTATTAAACAACTTTTAAATTTATTAGTTAAATAAGATAATGCCTCGTATGATTTGAGAGAAAAGTTTAAAAATAAGGCTTCGATTTAATTAATTTAGTCAGGTATTGAAGATATATCTTGAATAATTTATTTCATAAAAGCATTTGCTTGTTTATTTCTAAAAAATAAAAAAAACTTGCATAACTGCAAGTTTATGCAAATTGGAAACCCGCTTAGCACCCACTCGACAGGTAAAAGAATTACATTCCCATTCACCCAAGTCATTCGGCTGGACCCGATCTTCAGCAGAGTATGGGTTTCGCCAAAAAAAAACTCGTTTTGACCGTTTTGATTGCTTGGTTTAAGCCGGAAATCCACTACAAAGGCAAGAAAGCCGCATTTCTACGACCTTGAAGTAACTGTCCATGCACTGAAAGAACAAAGTCTTTATTTATTTTTATCCAAAAATACATCATATAAGGCAGTGGTTCTAAATATTTCTAAAGTTAAAAATTAACTCAAAATCAAAAAATTCAGTTATAGAAAGGTGATAATTTTTAGAAATCTAAATTTTTTTCGGTGCTTACTACCCCTACCTACTCTCTTTCCCCCTTAACTGTTTATTATTTTTGGGTTTGGCTTGATCATCTAACGGGTTTTTTACCTCTTCTGGCCATCCTGCAGGTCAAGGAGCCCACCAGCCAAATAACCCTCAATGCCCTGGACATCACCATCGATTCGGCGGAACTGCAGTTCGAGTGCAGCAAAGTGAAGCCGGAGAAGATCGTCTATTCGGTGGAGAATGAGACGGCGACGCTGCAGTTCACAAAGGAAATCCCAGCAGAGACCGCCGGCGTGCTGTACATGACGTTCACCGGAGAGCTGAACGACAAGATGAAAGGCTTCTACCGGAGCAAGTACTTCACGGCCACCGGCGAGGAACGGTACGCGGGAGTCACCCAGTTCGAGGCCACGGACGCCAGGCGCTGTTTCCCCTGCTGGGATGAGCCGGCGATCAAGGCCACCTTCGACATTACCCTAGAGGTGCCCAAGGACAGGGTGGCTCTCTCCAATATGCCCGTCCTGAAGGAGGATCCGCTGCCAAACGGACTACGTCGGGTGCGGTTCGATCGCACGCCTGTTATGTCCACCTATCTGGTGGCCGTCGTTGTCGGCGAATACGACTACGTGGAGGGCAAGTCGGACGATGGGGTGTTGGTCAGGGTATTCACACCCGTTGGAAAGCGCGAGCAGGGTACCTTCGCTCTGGAGGTGGCCACCAAGGTGCTGCCCTATTACAAGGACTACTTCAACATCGCCTACCCCCTTCCCAAAATGGACCTCATCGCCATTTCGGACTTCTCCGCTGGTGCCATGGAGAACTGGGGCCTGGTCACGTACCGGGAGACCTTTGTGCTGGTGGATCCCAAAAACACTTCTCTGATGCGGAAGCAATCCATCGCCCTAACGGTGGGCCACGAGATTGCCCATCAGTGGTTCGGTAAGCGGTGTTCTCATCTCTTTTTATGGCCAATCAATGGCTATAATCGTAGCCAGATTATAGTTGGTTTGATTAAAATTAGGAGCTTCTAAAGTGCCCATTAAATCTTAACAGTCTCTTACTAAGTAATAAACTTGTCTCTATTACAGGCAACCTGGTGACCATGGAGTGGTGGACCCACCTGTGGCTGAACGAAGGCTATGCCTCGTTTGTGGAGTTCTTGTGCGTGCATCATCTCTTCCCCGAGTACGACATCTGGACGCAGTTCGTGACGGACATGTACACGCGCGCCCTGGAGCTTGATTCCCTGAAGAACTCCCACCCCATCGAGGTGCCCGTGGGCCATCCCTCTGAGATCGACGAGATCTTCGACGAGATTAGCTACAACAAGGGGGCATCGGTGATCCGCATGCTGCACGACTACATCGGCGAAGATGACTTCAGGAAGGGCATGAACCTGTACCTCACCCGCCATCAGTACGGGAACACCTGCACCGAGGACTTGTGGACGGCATTGCAGGAGGCCTCCTCGAAGAAGGTTGCCGACGTCATGTCGTCGTGGACGCAGCACAAGGGCTTCCCGGTGGTCAGCGTAGAGTCAGAGCAGAAGGGGGAGAACCAACGGCTGCTGCGCCTGCGGCAGTGCAAGTTCACTGCCGACGGCTCGACGGCCGAGCAGGGCGACGACTGCCTCTGGGTGGTTCCAGTGTCGGTGTCCACATCGAAGAACCCCACTGGAATAGCGAAAACTTTCTTGCTGGACAAGCCCTACATGGAGGTGATCCTGGAAAATGTGGAAGAGCAGGACTGGATCAAGATAAATCCGGGAACCGTGGGCTACTACCGCACCCGGTACTCGGCGGAGATGCTGGAACAGCTGATGCCCGCCGTGGAGAAGATGGAGCTTCCGCCGCTCGATCGTCTGGGACTGATCGACGATATGTTTGCCATGGTGCAGGCGGGGCATGCGGGCACCGCTGAGGTTCTGGCCCTGGTGGATTCCTACCGCAACGAGACCAACTACACCGTGTGGACCGCCATCACCAACTCCCTGACCAACCTGCACATCCTCATCTCGCACACGGATCTCATGGACGATTTCCACCGCTTCGGCCGGAGTCTCTACGAGCCGGTGGCCACTCGTCTGGGCTGGGAGGCTCGCGACGGCGAGAACCATCTTGATACGTTGCTGCGAAGCCTGGTGCTCACCCGCCTGGTCTCCTTCCGCAGCGACGAGGTTATCGAGGTGGCACGCCACCGCTTCCGAAGCCACGTGAATGGAACCAGCTTGTTGCCAGCCGATCTGCGGACGACCTGCTACAAGGCTGTTCTGCAAGACGGCGACGAGAAGATCTTTGAAGAAATGCTCAACCTGTACAGGGCCACCGACCTGCATGAGGAGCAGGACCGCATCTCCCGGGCCTTGGGCTGCAGCGGCGATGTGAAGCTGTTGCGCCGCGTCATTGACTTTGCGATGTCGGTGGGTATTCCGAGATCTTAAGGAGATTTGTCCAAAATTTTACTTGGAATTTGTTGTTTCAGGGTGAAGTGCGCGCCCAGGACTCGGTTTTCGTTATAGTCGCGGTAGCCATTAATCCCAAGGGTCGTGACATGGCCTGGGAATTCTTCAAAGAAAACAACAAGCAGCTCCTGGAACGCTATCAGGTGGGTGGAGCTCTCAAATCGTGTACAACTGAATCCTAACAAACGATCTATGTTGCAGGGCGGTTTTCTGCTATCCCGACTGATTAAGTATCTCATCGAGAACTTTGCCTCCGAGGAGCGAGCCAAGGAAGTGGAGGACTTCTTCAAGGCAAACCCGATCCCTGGCACCGAGCGCACCGTGTCCCAGGCGGTGGAGACGATTCGCCTGAATGCCGCCTGGCTGGCGAGGGACCGCCTGCAGCTGACCACTTATCTGAAGGACAACTAAGACGCCCTTGTGGCCACCAGCATACCAAAGCATTTAACAACAATCACCAGCAGAGTAGTCGCAACCGAAGCACCACTAACAGCACCAGTAAACCGTATACCCCATAACACCACGCAAGCCAGTCACAATTAGAATGCCAGCAAGCCCCCGGAGAGGGGGGCCTCATAGATTAGCTTTAGTCAAGGATCCACCTATATAATGCAATGTCTTATTTACCGAAGGGATGATCGAAAACACAGAACCCTTAGCTTATCCAATGTGTATTCCCACAACATTTCTTTCCCTCGAAAATCATGTACGTGTTGAGTTTATTTCGATAAATAAATGCAATTCTAGGAAGAATCTGAGGAGAGTTCGATGCAAATTTCAAAACGGAACTTATCTAGTCGTTTATTTACAATTTTTATCAACATTTGGTTTGGTTTTTAAAATTAATAACTATTTAGGCTTCACTTCATCGTTGTTATTGTTGTTGAACTCAAACTTCTGGGCCTTGCGCTTTATCTCCTGGGACTGCGCCCAGAACGTGGCCAGGCGGTGGTCACCATTCGAGCAGAACTCTCGGAAATCCTTGAGCAGCTTCAGCTGGAAGAGCTCGCCGTCCGCGGAGTTGTTGATGGTCTGGGCCTTCCACTTCTTGTTGGGAATCATGTGGTTCCAGGCCCACAGGAAGCCCACCTTTTTGGGAACATTGGTGTTGTTGGTGTGGCCATAGACGCATCGCGTGAAATTGGCCTCCTCCTCCTGGTGGATTGGAGATTCCACCTGGGTGTTGCTGTTGGTGGCGCACCTTCAGGGGATAAGGATGTTAAAAGAAAGTAATGATTCAAAGATTTAGATCCTTACCGTATCAAGGCAAACATGTTGCCTGTGCAGTGCACATACTGGTACTCCTTGGGAAGCTGTTTGGATCGTTATAAAATTAGGAAAATCTTAAAAATTATTTAAATTCACACTCACATCCTTGCCCACGGTGTACTTCTTCTCCAGAACACAGGGCAGGAAACCGAACTTGGACAAAATGGCTTCCTGAAGGAACAGCATTCGATCCGAACGAGATTCCTCTGGGAATTCTGAAGAACAAATAGGAAAAGTTTAAATATCTCTCGATTCCCGAAATCAATCTAAAGATACCCTCAAATAGTGCAGCTCCATCGGGCAGGAATGTGGTGCAAAGTGGAATGAAAATGGGACCCCTTAAAGGATCCGATTTCCTTGTGAAGGGTTCTGCCATGGGATCGGCTGGTACTGAGACCAGGAAATTGAACTGATTCGCCTTCCGCATCCAACCTCCAATCTGAAAATAGGGAAAAGTTAGGAACCAAAGTTTCAAGAAGATTCTGCTTTAATTTCTGTACCAAATCGGCGACTATGGGTCCTGATGAGGTGACCCACTCCACAACAATCTCAAAGGCAAATCCAGGCTGCAGGACAGTGTGGTGTTTCACATGACCCCACTCCATCCGATCGCTCTTCTGGTTGACATCAATCTCCAAGTGGGACTGGCGGTAAACGCGTTCTGAAATGAAGATTTTGAATTATTTTTGTGCCAAGTGAAAGTTTGGAACACTTGCTGTTACTGCTGGCATCCGTCCAGGACTGGGGCGCTGGTGACTCTCTCAGGAAGTTGGGAACTGGCGTGGCTACTTGCTCGTCGTGCCACAGGAAGCTGCAGCCCTGGAACTCAATTTCCAACCACTCGTTGACAAAGGCACTGTAGTCGTTCAGCGGCTGGGCATAATCTGGAAGGAACATCTTTGTATGAAAAGGGACGCAGTCCTTGGGAGACAACGGGTATACCCTTGGAATTTTTGTCCTGCTGCACCACATAGTAGAAGACGAAGCCCGGAACCACGGGCTTGTTCCAGTCCCCAGAGGCGTGACAGATCATTCGCTCCCTAAATGAAACATTTTAGTTCAAGGATGCATTCGTTTCCCGCAAACATACTTTCGCATGGCTTCCAGCAGCTCCAAGGGATGGCGGCCGTTGTTGAGGCGCGTCTTCAGCCACATCAGGGCATCGTAGGAGATGAAGGTGCACGAGGGCAGCGACTGGGTCTTGGAGAAGTAACCCACTCCTGTCACGGGATGCTTCATGGCTTCGAAAATCTCAGCGAGCGTGGCATTGGGGCTAAACTTGATGTCCACAGGGAATCTACAAAGTAGGGACATTATTATCCATGTTTTAGGTATAGAAGTATAATATTCACCCATCGTCCTGGTCATCTCTGGCGGCGATCCCCGCAGCAGGCACAGCATCTGTGGCGGGAAAGTTGCGCGGAATCCGGCCGTTCTCCAGCTTGGGGCGAACGTTAATGCTGGCGTGGGAGGACAAAGAACAAGATTAGATGCTGGCAGGACAGGGGCACTGTATATCAATGTCCTCTTCCATGTTGGGTATGCGAGTGTCTGGATTCGGGTCAGAGGATTCTGTGGGCCAATTGCTTTATGCGGGTTAGGTTTTTCGGGGATGATTCTTGGTGGGGATTAGTCGAGAGTGGTGATGAGATACGTAAACGGAACCAGGACGGGGCAGGCCCCGCTGGCCCTGGGAGTGGCACAAACCTTTGCTGCTGTGAGTTTAATTGATTATGATGCTTTTCAGTGAGTCTAGGTGTGTCATGCTGCTGAAAGCCAAATACCAAATTAAATAATAATAAAAAAGGTACGTAAACCTAACAAACAAAACCTCTAAAGTTGGAACAAGGAGTTAGGAGGCGAGTAACCAGGAACAACGTCAACGCGGAGCCATCGGGCTCGGATGCAGAGTAAAACAAAAGGACTACGAGTACGCAACAGAAAGGATACAAACTGAAACCATACAACAAACCGGCAAGGACAAATATACAGCTAGGCTAGGCCCAGGACTCCGGGGTGTCCTGGTGTCCTGGGAGCACAACAACTAGAACCATCAGCCAACCAAACTCCCGGCAAACGTGCGAGTACCAGAGACCGTAAATCAAGCTTAATCTTAATGACTAACTAGTGTAAGTAAATTAATAAGTAAAAGTAACCAATTATCCTTACGGTTCCTGGCTTTTACAAATGCGAGTACAGTGTTCAGGTGTTCGGGGGTGTGGGGTGAGTGTGATATTGTGTGTGTTTCTAGGTATGAGCGTGTACAGGGGATAATACAGGGGGGTCCTTAGATCTAATTAGTGTTTGGAATCGATATAAAAACCTGGGTCGCTTCTCCGGCAGCCGGTTGCTGCCGACCCTCTCCCGGAACGGAGAGTTCATGAGTCCCTGAGGAGTTGGATACGGTTTGGGGCAGGAAGACAGATAGGGAGGCACATTTAAAGAGAGACAAAAGAGTTATATGAGCATCTTGTCCACCAGATATCCACTATATCGATCAAAACTATGAAACTATAACGCAAGAAACTGTACAAAAGTGCGCTGGTCTGAATGAAATGAAATCAAGATCAAGAGCTTAAGGCTAAGAGTAGATAACCTGGTTAGGCTGAGGCCTGGATATAATGCTGGTACTGTGTCGTCGCTTGGTTATGCTGTGGGCGATGGGGCTGTCCTGGAAGAGTGAGGCGAGAGATACTCGGATACATCAGGGGCGAATGGGGGCACAGAAGCTGTCTTTGTGATGCAAGTTAGATAATTAAGTAAATACCCATCTGGACTACCTAGACCTGCCTTGACACAAAAGAGGGTTCCTTCCAAAGGAAACCTCTTTAAATGTGTACATATTAGTATCATATATTATCAGTAGATCCGATAATATAAGCTTTTTAAAAGGATGCTGTGGCAGTCTAGAAGATTAGTCTATGAGGAGACAGAACGGAGTTACAGAATTAACGCAACGGATCACAAATACACAAATATTGACGTGGGGTGGAGTCGCATTTCTTACTCTCGCCTTCCGGGCAAACTGGCGCTTCAGCTTGCTGACCGCCTCGATCAGCCGGACAAAGTCCTCCACCTGATCCTGTGTGTTGTCCGCCGTGGCGTCGGGGAAGATGTCGCAGCGCTGGCAGCTCGCAATCTTGTTCACGATGTTCTCCCTTGGGAGTAAGTACATCCGATACCGCCAGTACTTCAAGCTCTATTGGATAGGATTAGCATTTAGTTTCAAATAAGATAAGGATAAGAATAAGGACACTAGTTACCTCCATTAGTGGATAATCCACATCCCCTCGCGTACAGATGTAGAGATCCATGTGATTCCAGTTAAAGTTCTCCAGTTTCTCGGTGGTGAAGTTCACCCCGGAGATCTCGTAGGTCTCGTGCTGTGGAGCGTGGAAGCGGTAGCGGTAGTCCACATTAATGGGGGGATACGGGTGCCTGAAAAGGAAGACCATAAAACCGTTTCTAAACCGGAAGATATCCTCATTTACCGGGGTCTGTAGCCGGTCACGGTGATCACAGAGCCACTCAACGAGATCTTGTGGAAGATGCGTCCGATCGAGAGGAGGTACTCCTTCTTAATCTCGCATGGCGGCTTCACAGGCAGCACCGCGGAGGAGGAGGAGCACCCGCCCCCATTCGAGGGCTTCTCGTCCACCACAATGAGCTGGAAGCCCTGGGCCAGGCGCTGCGAAACAATCTCCTTGCAGACCTCCTCCGTGGAAAGGGGCTTCCGGTAGACAGCCCGGCTCTGGGCGTAGTCGTGGTTCACGTCGTCCGGCAACAGGGTGTAGTCCGTAATGACATAGTCGTTGTTTAGCGACCGCTTGTCCGGGAAATAGTCCGTGGTAATGGGCAGGCAGGCGGGGATGGTCAGCGACTTCCAGTCAACGCCTGCAAACGGATCCACCGGTATTAGCAGGAGGACTCTCGGATACGGGGTCAGAGGTCAGAGAGAACAAAGAGAAAGCCAACGCCGGTACAGGTGTGTAAATCAAAATCGCTCAAGCTAGAAGTCTACGGAAATCATAACCAAAGGAGTGGGTGGTGGTAGGAGCTCCCGTCCGGGCGGAGCTTCGCTTCTGTCACCAACGGATGTGGGTGAGTGGTTTTAGTTAGCGTGTGGTTGGCGTGCGAACATAACACAAGTGGGCGGGGCGAGTGGGCGGGCGAGTGGCAAGCATACTAAGTTTCTACAAAACTACACAACGACAACATGCGTGGCACATGCTTCCTTGAACCAACATGCTCCCATCTCCAAAAGTGGCCCGAGCATCGGGGTTATCAACCGCCTCTCCGATGGATGTGTGGTGGGGTGTGCAGGTGGTGCAACTACTCACTAGGATAAGACTATTATTGGTAATGGATGTGGAGCTACATGCATAGGGGTGGTGCAGGGGCAGGACTTCGAAAGCGGTTAAACAGGGGAGTGCAAAGCAGATAATCTACAGGGTAGGTCCCAGACTTTGGGGCTAGAGTAAGGGCCAAGTCCCCTCCCTTAGGCAAATAGTTCTGCTATATATCTGATTTCCCTTTAAACAAAGTTAAATAATTTGTTTATCAAAGTTCAGGCTTTAAATTCTATAGAATTACTTAAACTATTTGTGTACAAAGTTTAAAAATAAAACTGATAAGAGCTAGCTCTGATAAAAATAATCTCCCTTTTTTAATAAACTACTGAGCTGGCTATATAATTCTGAAAAATGATATTTCTAAAAATAAAAACTGATGGAATAATATACAAAAATAAGTAACCTTTATCAAAAATACTCTTAACCCCCTCTTAAATATATTTTCTATGCAAAAGCGGAAAATAAATACAGGCAAGGTAAACCCCTACGTAGGTCTCCTTGAACTCCAACTACAAGCTCCATAAAGGCAGAGATCGAAAGACTATATAGTGTGTAGATAGATAGCTAATCGTGTGTTGGTGGCGAGTGTGTTTCGGGTATTTTTGAGTGTGGTTTTGGATGCATTACTAATGCTTTGTACAGAGTTCAAAAGTGGTGTGAATTGTTTTTGTCCAAACCTATGATGATCTTTCCTCTTCCTCCGCCGCCCGCCTCCGCCTCCAGAGGGTCGGGGGGCGAGGCCGTTTCTAAAGCCTCCAGGTCGCCCAGATGATGATGCTCGCCCTCGACGATCGGCCGCAGATGCTTGGCTAGAGGAGCAATGGATTCGGAGTGGGTTCGATGGGAATACGGATACGGATACGGATATGATGGGTTGCAAATTTCGATTCGTTGGGTTAGGTCCGATCGTGGTTCATTCGAGGTTGGTGATGTTTGTTTTGTGGCGGTGGTGGTGGTGGTGGTGGGGGAGAGTGTGAATCATACGTAAACTTAGATTAGACTTTATATTCGTTTAAATAATTTCGATTTGTTTTTTTTCGGTTAAAAATGAGCTACTTTGTATGCGGATTAGGCTTAAGATTGAGTCCCCGGGTTGCGGTTAGTAGGCGGTGGCTTTCCTTTCATCTTGCACCCCAAGCTGCTGCGGATCTCGACGAGAAAAGCAACTCCGCTGCCCAGCATTCCGCAGAGGAATAAACTAAAGACCGGACAAAGGACTTTCAGAGACAGCGGCCTGATCCTAAGCGTCTCCTCCAACTGCGCCAGGGTGGAGAAGTCCCGCAGGTAGCCCATGAAGTGGGCATGGCGGTAGGCAGTCTCGAACCATATCTTGTCCAGTGAGCTTTGTTGCACCTTCAGCAGGAACCGGTGCAGTGGATCCTTGAAATGCGAGTCAACCCTCAGGGGGTACTGAAAGGGGAAGGTTCCCTGACATGTTTCGGTCAGGATGAAGCGCTTCTTCCGCAGGTATCGCTGCTGGATGTTGAAGAACATCCAGCGGACTTTGCTAATCGGATAGATGTACTCTGGGTCCATTGCGATGCGCTTGGACTGGAATGTGGCTTGATCCGCGAAGGTAAACTTTCGTTTGAACTCCTCGCTGTGGCCCAACGACCCCACGATGATCTCCACGTCTGAGGGTACTACCAGGATGCGGTTGGGCAGCTTGAAGATCTCCTCCAAAGTGCCCGCCGGTTTCTGAGTCAGGGTAACCGCTAAAAAGGAAGTGAGTCTGGTGGTGTAGCTCTGCCCCAGAATGAAGATCCCCAACAGGATCAGGGAACTGGATACGAGGCTACTGAGCTTGGTGTTCTTGGATCTACGGTGGCCGGCTCCTGGTAACCCCAAGGCTGCCCAAATCTGGGAGCTCTTCACCAATCTCCGCACATAGACGAAGTGCAAAATGAGCGAGGTGATGATTAAACAAGTCCAAAGATAGCTCCGGAAGGGCATGAACACGTAGAGGTTCCTTGGGATATCGTTATCCAGCGGTACCATGAAGCATCGTTCCGACATCAAGGTGGGATAGGAGTAGTCCACTTGGCTGTTTGGGTGAATGGTATCGTACAGATGCGGGCTCATCTCGATCTTATTTTGAATAATCAGCCCATTAAGGGCATCCCGGTCCAACCAATCGGACCCATTTACCGTTAGGGGATAGAGATCCAAGGACACGTTCAAGTGGGCCATAAACCTAGTGATGAGGGTACCACCCAAGCCGTCGAGGTGCCACTGCTTCTTTTGAAGATTTATCCACCAAAAGGTGTTGGGGATGTCCTGCTGAACTGGCACCCGCAGTCGGTATCCTTGAAAGTTTTTCGCGTTCGGCGATGGAAAGAGGTGGAGCGGGTCATACGCTGCCAACTTTCGCATCCGAATGATCCTGATTTGGGGATAGGGGTCCATCTGGTAGAACCTGCGGTTCGCGACCACCACCAAGGCGGATCTGAACTGCAGCCGCCAAAGGAGCTCAAAGAAGTGAGCCAGATCCGTACGATTAATCGGATCTCTTAGGAGGAATATTGTCTTGCAGTAGCGCCTTCCCCTGGCCCTCTTGGCTTGGAGTTCTATAATTGCGTCAGTGTGGTTCCTTGCAAACACCAAGTACACTGTTTCCTCATCCTGGATGGCACTAAACTTCAAATGTGTGTCCTCTGCGTTCGTTGCCGTCATCTGCGGGAGCAGGTTGAAGTGGTTGGAGGCGTTGCTTCGCAACTGGCGATAGAGGCCGTCCAGGTAGGTGGGATCTACCGCATCCACGCTGCTTGCCACGGTAAACGCCGTCAGACGGTACACTCGTCCTATCCTGTCCATAAACTGGGCGAGTTGGGCCGGTTGCTCAAAGCTCCCCGTTGCCCCAATGGGGCTCGTCATCAGTATCACCAGGATCAGGAACATTTTCGCTCAAGAATCAAAGACTCACTGGCTGGTACCCTGCCGTTTTGCGGAGTTTTTAGCGGTTGCTCCCGCCGCGATAGCATCTCCTACTGTTTGCCCAACACTTACCTGTGGTAATTGCCGGTGTCCATTCCTGCTCTCCGGTTGCTCCCCAGAGATACGATTTGGCTTGCGTGGCCGTCAAGTTGGGCACGTTGGCGGGAAGAGCATTCATAAACGAGTTCTGGCGCCGCTTAAAAACTGTGAAAGGATACTTTGAATCAGGACATATTACAAGAAGTAGGCACTTGCTCCTCACAATCGATTTTGTCCTCGCTCTGTGATGAGACGGACTTGCTCAGCATCGAATAACTGGACACCCGATCGTATTGCTCTCCGTTCTCGCCCCCGTACTCCTCCGGCTCGTTATTGTTGTTACTGCCATTCTGCTGAAGCGGCTGCAAGGGCTTCTGGTGCTGGTGCTGGCCCGCTTGTGAGCTTTTTGCCGGAACAGCCTGGTAGTGATGTTGTTGGATAAGCACTCCGGTCGGACCCTTGGGGAAGATGTGTGTCCAGCGGCGTCGGTTCGAAGTCAGCTTTATGGTGACTTGCGAAGGATCGAAGGGATTGATGAGCGCCCTGCCGGGACGTACAATGGGTGCAATACTGACAATCGTGCGTCGGGAATTCTTCTCCGAGGCCAGAGATTCGGAAAGGTTAGTTGCATCCGGTTGCTGCAAACCAAGGAGGTAATGGGGTGAACTTTCTTTCAGAAATAACTATATTTTTCATACCAAAGCTGCCAGCATTGCGGATGTGCCATGATGAATATCTGGGTCGGACATCTTGCGGCGAATGGCTGGAATCTGGGTGGGTGTCAGGTTCTCCCACTCGTTGTTGTAGGCATACGTCTCCAGGCTTGGGACTGAGGTCTTCTTGGCCCTCACCACTCGTTGCAGAGAACTGGTGGTTGAAAACGGTATTAGGAATGAATAAAGAACCGAAGAGGAGTGGCCTACCAAGTACTCTGTGCCGGCAGCGGCTGGAAAATCTGTTCATCGTAAGCGTCGTAGTCGAAGAGGTGGTTGTGCTTGTACTCCGATTGGTTGCAGCTTAGGAAGTGACGCTCATTGTCCTCGCCCCCCTCGCTGGCGTCCTGCAGCGTTGATCCGAAAAGGGGCAGCTTGATTCTGGGGATGAAACTGGAATAGGCAATCTTCTTGTTTGTCGAGTAAAAGCTCAGGTTGATCCAGTGCGGCAAGGAGTAGTCGTCAGCGGAGGTGAGCGTGGTGTCCTTGTTGTGGAACTTCAGTAGGGGCACAGCGTGCAGAGGTTGTTCCCCGACGCAAACCAAGTCACTACCCACACCATTATCGATGATCCGCTGCTTGGTGATGTTTGTCAGCTCCCGATCCACGGAGAAAACCCCTACTCCGGGGGTAATCACCACAGACAGTTGACCTGTGCGGTCAAAGGTTCTGTCCAGGTAGTGCTTCTCAAATGTGTTGAGCGAGATGTTGAGAACCTCTAGGAAATTTCCCTGAGTGGCTGTGGAATTGGTGGCTGGGGGGATCTTCATGTGCTCCCTTTCGTGATAGCGCAGAACTGTGGCCTGCAAGGATTGGTAATGGATTAAAGATTCTCTTCAAAGATTTGGCTGAATAGGCACCTGGTAGGAGGTGAACAGCTTGCGCAGTTGCCCCAGTACCGTGCACCAATCATCGCAACGCTCGTTTTGGATTGCCACCCGGTAGAAATCCTCGTAGAAGCGGCCCTTGTAATCCAACTGGAGGCAGTCACGCATGTGTTCGGGGAACTCGTCCAGGCTCTTGGCAGCGTAAAAAGTGCGCGAAAAAAGGACAATGGTCACTTCGTGGTTGCAGCTCAGCTTTTTCCACTTCTGGAAGAGCTCCGTGAGAAATCCATTGACCGCCTTCTCGAAGTATAAGTCCCCATGGATGTCAAAGTCCCACATCTCCGAGGACATCTGCAGAAAGAGGTACACCATGGAGGTGCTACTTCGAAAAACGATTTTGGTGTCCTCCGTAATGACGCCACTGGCTACCCGTTCACCCTGCGACCACATCTCGTACACTTGGCACCGGATCTGCATGTCATTGTAGTCGATCTTCTTATTCACGTAAACGCAGGTGTCCGTCTTTAAAGAAGAGTAAGTTAATAGTCTTGTAATGACTCCACTTCAGTCAACCCTCTTACCAAGTAAGTTTTTAGTCGCCACATCTCGGAGCGTCCCATGTATTGGTCCTTAAAGGTTATTTCTATGGAGTCCAGGGCCACATCCGCAGGATTCACTATGCGCATCACCACATTGGAGTAGGCGCGCATCTTGAAGGCGGCGGCAATGCCGGATTCAATACTTATTACGTCCCTGCCAGCGTTCACGTTGAACTCTGTGATCTGGAGCAGCAGGTGGGTACCATTCTCATCATCCGGGGCATAGATCTCCACCACGTCGCCAACATTGGCGTTTGGGTGGTCCTTTAGATTCATGACCAGGTCGGCATCTGATGATAAACAGTGTAAACAACGATAGTTTGTTGATTGTTTTTATAATTTGGTTACCGTATGATTTGTTGCACCCTCGGGTGTGGGTGGTCAGCTTGTAGAGTTTCATGGCAGGCATCCCAGGAGTGCTGGGACGTAAGGAGCAGGTTCCCTGGACCTGCGCCCCTTTTTGTATGGGATCTGAAATAGTCTCTCCCTAATTTTTCTTCCAAGAAGCTTTTAATCCACTTTTAAATACTTGTAAAATTCTTGTTACACCGTGTTTTTGTTTTTCCGTATGTTCAGTGAGACCGTACATTCAAATGTGCGAAATACCAAAGATGCCATGGGCTGTCCCAAAATGTACCTATTTTCAGGGACATTAATGCGCAATTGTTTTATTAATTTTATCAAATCCTTATTAAGAATGCACTTTTAGTTCTTTTTAACTAAATAAATTTAAAACATTTAATATTGAAAAATGTTTAAAGTTTTTATCAAAACCAAAATATACTACAATTAATCATTAAAAAAGTACTTTTTTGTAATTGTAAAGTCCATTGTTTATTTTTTAGTTGCTATTATTTACTTTTCAAATATTTGTATTATATTATTCACTTTTTAAATAAACTACGTATACGCGTCGTCACGTAACTATAAACGACTTCTTCGAGATAAGAAATGCATATTTGTTTATAAATTCTCACCTATGTATATATTTTTATAGCATTTATATATACATATAGAAAAACAAATGTAGATCCTAAATTAGCCCCATTTAAAAAGAATGATAATTCTATTAATGTCCCCTCCACTGTGCCTATTAATTTACATCTTTCTGGCCATGAAGCTAATCTAAGCAATTAGAAAGAACGCCGTATTCGAGTTTTTGTTTTTATTTTTATTTTTATATATTTGTTTATTGAATTTATCTCGAAATGATTACAATTCGGATCGTTGTGTTTTAAATGAATAATTTTATTGGGTCGCAATATCAGTGAGTACATATCGACAATAATCGTAGCTTCACATCAAGACAGTACACCTGGCTAAATGGCTAATCCTCAGTCCTTAATCAGATGGCATCCATGGGCCGGAATCTGGACCCTGCTATCCGGATCCGATCGGGCTTAGGTTTCGCAATCTGTTTGTTTTTGTTTGTTTCGCGGCGATTGGAACGCCTCTGACGACAGAGATCGCTTGAGACTGATACAGACCGTTGTCCACAATTCGTCCGGATTTGGATTTTTTCTACTTATAGCAAGAGTTATGTATACAATGCAAGGCGTGGGTCGCTCACCAGGATGCGTCGAATTAGTTTGTCGATTGGTTCGAAAATGAGTTGACTCGTATATATGTAACTAACAATCAAAAGTCGCTTGTCCTCGTCTTCGTTTGAATATTCGTCTTCAATCTCAACATGCAGCTTAAACGGTAGACAGAACCACGAAACAGGCTCCTAAAGCTAACTAAACACGTACGGACTACAAGTAAACACTAAACACTAAAGAGGGGGGAGGACATCTCACATTGCCACAGTGGCCAGGACTACGGTGATGTCGTCGGGCTTGCCACCACGCGCCTGGATGTTATTCCTCCTGGCGCTCAGGGCGAACGGCGAGAGGAACTCGCTGTTCAACGACAATGTGCGGGCCATCAAGGCCAGGCTGTTGGCTGTCATCTGCAGCTTGACGGGGTCACGTTCACCCTCCACCTCGCTGAGCACCTGCAGCATAAGATCTTCGGGGACGTTGTCGAACACTCCGTCGGTGGCAATGAGAATCACATCGCCGTCCTTGACGGGAAAGCTCATGGTGTCCGCCGACTCGGGACTATCGCTAAGGACGTTGGGTCCATGTCCCGGGGGCGGAAGGGAAAGCTGGAAGGGGGTGTTAAAGTAGTGCTGCTGCTCCTCTGACTTGTGCACCACCTGGCCCTGTCGCACCACGATGAAGCCGCTGTCGCCAATGTTGGCTGTGTGCACGGTACTAGTTTCGCGGTTTAGGATCAACACGCAGGCTGTGCTGCTACCCAGGATCGGTTTCTTCTGCTCCATCAGCTCGCAGTAACTGTAGGCCAGCAGGTTGACCGGGCGTTGCGGGTTGAAGTGGCTGCAGTGCACCAATCGTTCGCAGGTGCGCATCAAGAAGGACGAAAACTCTCCGGGATCAATACCATAGCTGCGCCAACCGCCCACTCCATCGGCCACGCCCATAACATCCGCCTGCTCCGTGGAGGCCTTGAACCACGAGTCCTCGCCATACTTTCCGGGGCGGTACTTGTGCCGTAGGTTGTCCTTAGCGAAGCCACACACCACAGAAACAAAGCGAGGCTTTGAGGGGTTTGCTCCACATTCTGGCCCCGATGCGGATCCCGACTTCACGGTACCCTTGGCCGCTGCAGCTCCTCCGCCACCGGTGGCGGTCTCTAAAAGAGTGGAGAAGCTGCTGCGGAGAGCACGCGAGATCAGGCGCGAGGTCCAGTTGAGCGACGAGTGCATCACAACTCGTGGTCTCGTGGTCTGCGTGTGAGTCCACTTACATCCAGAGGTCGATTATTGATTTTGCCTTGTCGAGGTTGCGTTTCCTGGCGTTTGACTTCTTCTCCAACACCTTCTACTAACAATTTTCAGGCCAAATATTCTATCTCGACGGGGCGAACAATTTACGTTCCAATTTTAATGTGAAATGTTATGTGATACACTTTTTCACGTCAGGTCGTTGAGCTCCGGAACCGGTTCCATATTCGTTTTGTTGCCCCCGCCTCCTGCCTCTGAACTGGATCCAACGAGGTTTCTTTGAACTAAATCGATAAAAGTAGAGATGGGCAAAAAAGGTTAATATCCAAATTTTATTAATTTAGTATTTGAGGACCATTATATACAATATTCTTTCGAGTATAAATCTTCAAATGCCATAGAGCAATAGCAAACGCCAGATTGAATTTCAAATTATTATTTTAATTTGCAAACAATCGATTGGTATATAAAATTTATCGATAGTTGAATCGAAGGCCTCCCACCGCAGGTAGTTTGTTTTTCGCCAAAAATCGAGGTATTTGTATTTGCCCAGCTGTCCATGGAGCCAAACAAAGACGCGAGTGGTGGCTGCTAGTTGTTAACCCAGTTTTAAACGGAGTGTCGCGGCCTCAACAATTACGCGTACCCTCTGGTAGGAGAAGTGATAGAGGGGGTGGATAAACGGTCGCGTAGTGCTCGCTTTTGTTGTTGTTGCGATTGGTGGTGGACGGAGACGACATTGGCATAGAAAATTTTGCATACACTCTCTCCCCCGCTCTCATTCACACCAGACCAACACTCATGTAGAAAGTAAAAATAAAAAATAGCCAAAAATAAACAAAAAAATAACAACAAACAAAAACTTACGTCGACTTTTGCAGACGGAAGAAATTGGTTGTAAATTGGAAAGTGCACGAAGCTGTGAGAGGAACGCGTAACGGTATACACACGCATACACATAAAAATACACACGCACACATGGAGGCTTGAGGATTGGGAATAGGAAAGAAATCGTGAGGAAAGGAGCAGGAGGTCTGGGAGGATCAGGAGCAGAACGATGACCACTCGGGAGAATGTCGTTACCAGTCGCCTGTCCAAGCTAATGCTAAACAATGCCGCTAGCGGAAGTGGTGGAGGAGGTGGTGCCCTCCAGTCCCCCACTTCTCCGGGGGAGCAGTCTCAATCCGAACTGAACCAACTCAAACGCGATGCAGACCCTCAATTCTCGCGCTTTGCCGACTACTTTGTGATATGTGGACTGGATCTGGACACAGGCCTGGAGCCAGATCGCTTTGCTGGTAAGTCGTGAAGGCTACTGGTAGGCTATATGGATGTTTATTGAGTTTCCTGATTTCTAGGCGATAACTTGCACTGTTCGCCGCTGGATCGAGCCTACAAAAGCAAGCCCCTCGCCCATTATCCGGAGAACGTGCCCTGGAACCCGTTCGATGCCCATGGGATATGCATGGTAAATCCAGAGTTTGTTTTTTAGGGTGCCCCAAACACTGAAATATTTAATCTTTCTTATCTATTGGGATTTTCATATATTTATGAGAGAATCTTCAGTAATCTTATCAAGTCTTTCTGTCTTCATAAGTTTGAAGTCTAAAATTATAATTACATTTTCCCTCTAACTACTTTTATGATTTAAGACCTAATGTGAATGCCTGTAGAGCTCATCCAATTTTATGAAAGATATACATTTCATATTCATGGTAATGGAGCATAAAAAGCGACTCACCCTAATCCATATTCATATTCTAATTGAACTCAATTGGCTGCCCTTTCGGTGGAAATTCATGCATGGCTGGCCAGCTCATTGATACGAGTGGAATGAAATGGAGAGCGGAGCAAGGCAAAGTTTTAATTGATGGCGATGCCACGACTACGGTCGGCATCTTATCGCTCGCATCTGAGCACATGTGTTATGGGCTGAGGGTTGAGGGTTGAGGCGTGAGTGTGTGAGTGATTTAACTAAACTCCCGTCCCTTATCTTTCGTCCAGCTCTCACTCCCGCAGGGCCTCCGCTTCCGGACGCAGAAGCACAACATCGAGCCGAGATTCCACTCGTTCGCCACAACGCGCGAGGATGGAAAACGGTGCTATGGCTTCAGCCTCGTTTTCTACGAGGAAATCCGCAATCGCAACATCTGCGGTGCCATTCACACACTGCAGAGCATGTTCATCACGGAGCTGTCGAACGGCCAGCAGACGCACTCCCTCACCCGGGTTAAGCAGGACGGACCGGTCAGTCGGTCCTTGCCCAGGCACTTCAAGGTGGCCGGCCAGGCGCCGCAATCTGCACAAAGCTACTACGACGTCAACAAGGACAAGCTGTATGTGGCCAAGAGCATCTCGCTCATCTGCCAGGCCCCCTACGCCTTTGCCGCCCAGATGTTTCTCAAGAACCTGTACAGATGTCTTCCCCGCCAGCCTGGTGCTGGAATCAGCTTGGAGTCGTACGTGTATAACATCCTGTACGAGGTGATGTTGCCGCAGCCGGGCAAATCCATACGAGTCTATCTGCCCCCCACGGAGCCGCATCTGCCCGCTATTGCATTGATCCTGCAGCGACCACTCCTGGCTACCGAACTGCCTCTCCTGGATTTTCCGCTGCGCTTACTCTTTAAGTATCTGGGCGTCGAGTGTGTTATCCAGCTGCTTACGTGCGTTCTGCTGGAAAACCAGGTGCTGCTCCGGTCCACAGGTAAGAGACTTTCAAACTCGTGATTCAAGATTAAAAGCCAAGTGCCACCCTTATCGCAGACTACCAAAGACTCATGATCGTGGGTGAGTGCATCACTTCGCTACTGTTCCCGTTTGTATGGCCCCACGTATACGCCCCCATCCTGCCGGCGGCGCTGCATCATTTCCTGGACGCCCCAGTGCCCTTCGTAATGGGATTGCACGCGGAATGCGAGGCGGCGCACAAGATTGGAAGCGAAGCGGCGCTCTGCTTTGTGGACATCGATAAGAAGCACATTCAACTGCCGGAGGAGCTGCCCGTCTTCCCCCACAAGCAGGACTTCATGGCCGAGATAGGCTCGGTGCTGGACAAGTTCGAGGTAGAGCGGGATCGCGACCTGGAGCCGAGCTTGCGGAACGGCAGAGCTTCCGGGGGACTGGGAGGAGGAGTTGGAAGTGCAGGTTCTAGCGGAGGAGGTGGCCCCGACGCCATGATCTCCAGTTGCACGCTGCCCACCGGACTGCAAGCCGCTCGACGCAGCAAAGAGCGCTTCCAGCAGCTCCAGGAGACGGTCTACACACTGTCCGGATCGGGGTCACCCGGCGGAGGCGTTGTGGACTACCAGCCACTCATAGCGCATCCATCGCGCATAGATCATGTACCCCGGATTGCAGATTTTCTGCGGAGGAAAGGCGGTATCCGGGGGACCGCTTCTCCGGTAGGCAGCCCAACCGTTTCGCTGTCGTCCTCGCCGGTGGGAATCTATCAGGATGTGGACGCCGTCGACGCCACCATGCCACGAAGAACCGAAAAACAGAAACTGAATCCCGTGGATCAGTATTACCAGGACCTGCGGATCAACAACTCGCTGCGAGAGATTTTCCTCAACAGATTCGTGCACATGTTTCATGCCTACGAATACTTCGTGATCTACCCGAACCAGGCCAGGGACGACTGGATCTCGAACCGGGAGACCCTGCAAAACTTCGACAAAAGCTCGTTCCTCTCTGACCAGCCGGAACACCATCGCGCCTTCCTTTCACGTTTCCTTGAATCTCAAATGTTTGCCACACTCATCGATAATAAGATCCTGGCCATGTGGGAGCCGCAGCCGGACGAGCAGCTCCTGCTCTTCGACCAGCGCGTAAAGTTACTGAGGTGAGTACGCTCCTTTGGAGAACAGGCAGGTATAGGTTTAAGCCCAAAGAGAAATATTTATTTCGTCAGCCGGTAAAAACAAATAAAAATACAAGAAGTGCTGCCAAATAGGTATCCGAGCAGCGAACAGGATCACCCATGCTATGATGCCACGGTCTTGGGCGAGGCCGCCAACCCTTTTTTAAGCCCCGATATCCTTTCAAATCATATTTCGATTCTCCGTCGTGGGTTTCCTCCGAAAAGGGGCGATACTTTAACCTAGAGCGGACAAGCATTAAATCTTTCCTTGGGACATTAGCTTCACCCTTACCCTCTTACGTGTCGCGCTGGCTTCAATTGGGAGGCATTAGTGCTCGTATGATTGGCCAGGACGCAATTCCTTGAGACTCCTTCATAAACGGCACCGACGATAAAAATGCACACGATATAAATTTGGAAGAGGTTCATATTTAGTTTCTAAGCCTCCATAAAAGTAAATGACTTAAAAGAGAAGGGTATCTTCCTGATTACTGATTCCGTTCCGTTTTTTCATTCCCAGGCGACGTCACGGAGAGAACATGATCGCTGCCAGCAGCTATGAGCCATGTGTGCTCAGCCAGGACTCGCAGCAGGGCTTCGAGAAGCGGCTCAACTGCATAGACATCGAAGTGACGCCCCCCAGCGAGATCCTCTCCAACCGGGCCGCCTACTTCCGCAGCTTCCCTCTGCTGGAGAAGGGCGTGCTGAACCAGGAGTGCGCCTCGAGGTAGTTCCCGCACCCAAGTACCTACTGTTTCCCCGTTATGCCAGTTAGAATTTAAAAAGAGTAGAAGAATCCTCTCTCCAGCACGCCCAGTTTGCAAAAAGAATCCACGAACCCATGTAACCATCCCGCACTCATCCAATAACCCCCGAAAATGGTCGCTAATTGTACCTTAGCCAATGTTTGATATTACCTTAATGTTAATTATAGACAACATGGACACTTAGCTGTATGTAGATCTGTTTTATGTACCTCCTCCGTGGTTGGCCCCGAGGACTGAATCCAATCCGGGTCTCCGCGCGTATTTTTTTAGCGAATTATTTTTATTTCTACCCGTATTGTTTTCTGTTAGTACATTAGCACGTAACAATAAAACTCTTCATTCTCCAAAACGTTAACCGGAGTCTTCGTTTTGTTTCGTTTCGTTCCGTAATCCCCGCCGGTAACCGCACGCATGCACCCCACAGTTTATCGCCTGCTGATCACCCTGCCCCATAAATCCCCCATCCCTCAGATCCACCTCAACCTCCACCCAGACCCGATTTCGGAGTTCCCACTAATCCGCTGTCTCTTTGTTCTCGTTCGAAATTCGACACTTTAAACTAAACTCATCCGCGCTAACCTCCATCAACCAACCAACCTAAATCCGAAACCGAA